TCTCATTTCAAGTCTGCTTTGACAGGGCAACGTGTGTCACAATCCAAAAGGGTTAGCTCATAGTTTCTCTCTTTCCATCCTTCCTGTCCTGTTTTTTTTCTTTTCTTTTACCGTGCGGTTTAGTCTTTTCCACTAGTTTCCTCTTGTCATTTGAGTTCTTACTTTCTGTATAGGTACTGTATGAGTTTTTGGGAGTAGAAAAAGATTCATTAAGTAGGTAGTCCAGCTTGTGGCAATGAAGAAAGAAGAGGCAGTAGCATAGAGGAAACTGAGTATAGGGCTTTCTCGTGTACATAAATGTTCTTCACTTCTCCTTTTCAGATGAATGACAACAGAAGAACAGTAACTGGTAGTAAGTGCTTTCCTGGTCTATAATTAGTCTTCCCAGTGAATCCAAGTTGGTGTCATTTGCAAAGTTGAAGGGAACCCTCTGAGTTAAAATAAGCAGCTGGCTCTGCCCCAAGTAATACTGTAAACAGACAACCATGGGTAAAGTGAACATTTTTTTCCTTTTACATCTTACCTCTTAATATCTTGTTTCCGTCAACTGAATTTAAACCCAACTTTTGCAACTTTTAATGTGTATCTTAACAATTACAGTGCTTTAGATTGTCTAAAGCCTATAAACCTTTTAACATTCACTGTGCTGTTTTTTGTCTTTGTTTGCCTTTTTTAGGACAGTGGGCTGCATTATGAATTATATCATTTAACCTAAAAGGATTTAATCTGGAAGATGGTGTAGTCTGGAGAATACAGTCCAGCATACAAACCATTTATAGAGTAAATAGGAAAATGGTACCACAACAAGTGTTCAAGGTGTTGTGATATTAGGTGGTAACATCTATAATTGTTCTTTGTCAGTTTTAGGCCACGTGTAGTGTTGAAACTTCTCTAGCAATATAAGTTATGTCTAATTTAGATCTTTGTTTAATAATTTTGGTCAATTATTAAGTGAAAATTCCAAATAGGGATGAATGTTGATGTGTGCTTCAATCGGTTTTACATAATTACAGACTAAATACTTTTTATGCTGTATTTTAGACTACAGATTTGAGGACATTTATTTGGGGGGTGGCGATGGCGCCATATATAGCAATTGTAAGTTGCTTTTCATTAAAGCGTCGGCTAAATGACTAATTATTTTTTTTATTTGAGCTTTAACTAGAGGGTCATTTGTCAGAATGTCTGACATTTTATAGACTAAAGGATAAATCTGAAACAAATTTGACTGAACAATTATTTCCAGAGGACCAGGCAGATTGAAGAATTCGATAATTGGGCAGGCAGCAAGAGTCTAAAGTAAGTTTGAGATTTGTAATGACTGACTGCACTCTCTTTCTCTACCAAACAGAATTTGGACCCATGACTAAAATTTTCAAAATTCTGCTCCAAATATCGAATTCTTCAATCTGCAAAAAAATTTCTGTTGGTTTACACAGTGAAAGAGATAGAGAGAGAGGTCACAATATCTGTTCTCACCACTCACCTTCACCCAGTGGTGAAGCCAGCTGATATCCAGTATAAGAAAAACTGATTTGCATAACACTGGCACTCGCTGAATGGTTTCATACATTACATTATGTTCATCTGGCTTTTTCTCCAAAGCGACATTTTCCCCCAGCAATTTTGACATTCACAATCTTGCTTAAGGACAACGAGAGGTGCCAGGAATCAAACCTCCAACTCTACCATTAATGGCTGATCTGCTCAACAGGAACATTGTGCAATCCATCCTTATTTAAAAATGACTGAACATGCCAGCGGGCAGATACAGCACAATCAAAACAAAGCAAAAACAAATGGTGAGAATGATGTCAGATCAGTCTCATAAGATGTAAGACTTGCACCGCCCATGGCAACTTTGGTAAGACATGCTAAAGCTTTCCTGGCAGCTGATTTTTAAAGACTACATTTTGTTCCTGGTGTCCTATTTAATGGTTCTGTTAGTACAAAGATCTTTTTTTCGTGAGCAATGAGAGTGTGGTCTGAGTACATTAGGCCCTGTCTTCAGAGTACATAATGTTTCAACTTTCTCTCCAATAAAGTAGTGAAGTACAGATTTGAGATGCTTGTACTTATAAGTACAACCAAAAGTGCTGTTAGTATCAACATGATAATTATACTTCTACTACACAACATTTATTTGACTGGATTTTTACAATAATATGATGACACTTATAAAATACAATGCATTGTTGAAGATTAAACCAATGGTATCCAAACCTTTTTTGGCTTGTGGCCCCTTACAAAAATGCAGTATCTAGTTGGGGCCCCTTATCACGTCTCATCAGTTGTTAGCATTTCCACTCTAAACTTCTCAGATTGTTTCAAAACAACTGTTTGGAGGCCCAAAGAATGAAATATGAATATAAATGTGTTTTTTCTCTGTTTGTACACCATTAATTGTCTCATGACCCCCTCCCCCCCCCCAGGTTTATCTTGTGACCCTGCCCACTGCTTGGGAACCACTGGACAAACCTATCTAATAGTATATATGTTTAAGCGGGTTCTACCTTGATCAGCAGTGAAATGCCGCCAACACATTGATGCAATCACAATTTGGCCTACTGAAATTTTCAAATCCTCACAGGAGGTGCAATATTTTTTAAAGGCAAAATGCCATTTTAAATATCCATCTAATATCTATGTGTAGGGTCATATTTGCCAATGCCAGCTGACATTGGGCGGGGTTGCCAGTCCATTACAGGGCACATAAAAAACAAACAACCACTCACACCTAAGGGGAATTTTTGAGTCCTCATTTAAATATTAATATTTATAAATATTGCCTGCTGCAGAGACAGTCTGGCCTACACAGCATCTTCTAAAGTTTGGTTTTTAATCCTTGCAAAAACACATCATAATTAATTTAAATTTTTTTACTGTAAAAAAAAAAATAATAATTACAATAATTATGTAAAAATGATCATTCCATCCAATGTCTTAAATCATTTCGCAATTAAAATATTAGTCGAAATAATCGCAAAATCGTGCAGCCCTAGTAATAATCATCTAATAACGTCATCTACAGTAAAATAAAATATCAGTCACAGGGGGCATGTTTTCTGCAGATTATTTACATTTTTACTGATAATATTCTGCACTTTTATTTGAGTATTATCTTGAATGCAAAACTTTTATTTGTGATGGAGCATTTTACTCTATTGGTACATGTATTGCATTAAAGAGTATTTGCACTAATGTGACCACAAGTCATGAGTGGTCAAGCAGGAAGTTGTATGAAGAGGAGACTCGTGACTGCAATTTCACCCTAGGGTGTCTCATTGCCTTTACTTTACTGATCTGAGCAGGACTGAAGGGAGCTCAACGTGCACTGGGGGAAGAGCTAAAGTGAAAATGAATACAGGGTGGATGGTGATGTATGTTGCAACTTACCTGTACGCAAGAGTCATGCACTCAAATAGTTTGGTCAGTGAGGCGTCTATGGAGAGGTGCGACATGCTCGCCTTGCCAAAATGATAGGTCTGACAGGTCTGCTTGTTGACAGTGTCGAAGTCGTAGCCTTTCTTCGGGGGGTGCTCGCAGTGGGGCGAGGACACCATGAAGTGTCCACTGTGGATGATCTGAGACTCCAGCCCGTCTGACCTCCTCAGCCCCAGATGAGTCTCCTCCGCGTCCGAGTCGTCCTCCTGCTCCTGCTTAATGATCGCCGGTGGGCGACGGTAATTGTGCCGTAAAGACATCTCTGTAGTGGACATGTCTGCAACTCACCAGACAAATAGCTAACGTTAGCCACCGAGCTAGGACAATAAAAACTCCCTTTCATGAGGCTTGCCGACAGCGCTGGAAAACGCGGTTAAGGCTGACTGTTGGTTTGTCAGCTTCGTGCCGTACACTCCCGACTCCTCGGTTCACTCATTTTAAACCTCGCTGCTGGTAATTACTGGCCCATGTTAACGTGTTGTTGTCTTGTTAGACAGTCGACCTAAGTAAGAGTAGCAGGCACCAGCTGACAACATGGGCTCCTCTCGTCAGCAGCAGGAAGTTCCTGTGTTAGCGCGTTTCTGATTGGTCGGAGTCAGAGCCCCGCCCACCAAAGAACTCAAAATAAACCTGGAGCGACACAATATGCACCTTTTTTTCTGTTTCCACAGCACAAAAATGTTACTGGATAGGTGTCGAAATGATCTAGGCTTCAGCGACTACAAAACCGATTAACGTATAAGGGTTTTGCGACCCCTGTTACTTTTTATTTTGCTTCTGAATGGCAACAAAAAGGGATGCAGTCTCAGAGAGCACCAATGCAAGAAAGCTGTCCTTCTCGTGTCTTTCTCTCTCCCTGTCCAAAAAGTTCAGTTACTCTTCCTAAAAAATTAAGGCGAAAAACCGATAGATCCAACCGATGTTTCCTGTCTGTTTGCATGAAGTATTGGTTCTGTATTCAAATTTAAGAGAAAAGAAACAGCTAAATGTACCTTACATATCAAAGGGAAAATGCTACTTAATTTGTTCATCTATATTGTTTCCTTACAAATACTACCACTTTAGATTTAGTATAATGATAATAATAATATATTAATAACTTTATTTATAAAGCACTTATCAAACAATCAAAGCACTTAAAAAAGTGCTTCACAAAAGAAAAAAGGGACACAAAACACACCATAGAAGACAAAATGCATGAGGAGAAAAAATAAAAATGGAAATCACAAATAAGCAAACAGATTGACTATATGAATAAGACTAGAATTAATAGCAACGCTATATAACTAAAATAAAAAACAGGCAGCTCAGATGAAATCATGATATGCCTTCCAATAAAAGTGCATTTTTAAAAGAGAGTATATGATTATTTATTTACTCATGTTGTTTTTATTTTTATTCTATTCTAATTTTACATATATATATATATGTTCTGTGTGTGTGTGTGTGTAGCATGAAGAGGACTTCCACTTTCATGTCAATGTGCACCCCTGTGTTGTAAAAAAGATAAATAAATGAACCTTCAATCTTGTGTGTGACAAAGATAAACATGAGGATCTAACTTAATAATGATATTTATTCATCATATTTTTATTTGAAATACATCAAAATTCCAGCATCTCTGTTAGGGCACGTTATGGAAAAGAAACCTTGTGTGACCAAAACAATTTCTCTTAGACAGTGCGTTGCTTTCATCACTCTGGAGGGGAAGACCTGCCGCTTAGCTCTGCTGAAGAAGGGAAGCCCAGTATGTGACCTGTAAATGTCTCCATAGATATCTCATCTGGGATCACACACTCGAGTGAATATTCTGAATCTTCACCTGCAAAAACACACACACACACACACACACACACACACACACACACACATTAAAGAGTGATGATTTCAGCCCTTATGTGAATCCCCATCTTATGGTTTGTGAGTGAGTTTTTGTTTTACATACTGTCAGCTTTACATATATCATGCTCAGAAGGTTTCCCTCCTCTTTCTTCTTCTTCCTCCTCTTCACTGAGGCCTAAAAGTGTTGTGAAGCACTCTGCCACCTCTTCCTCTGTCATGTGTTCTCCTTTAAAAGATATGCATATGTTGGACTTTGGGCCACGTTGACAATGAAACATACGTATCTCGAAACTGTAACAGAGAATCAGTCTTTTTCTCAGTAATGTAACAGTAATAAAAACAGACTGGTCATTTTCTGACATCTGCAGTGTACCTCGAGCCTGTAGAAGTTCTAGCAGCTTGTGTCTCTGCAGAACAATCTGTCCTGTACTATCACGGTGACCAAGGACGTCAAAAGCTAGAGCAAGCTCATCGCTAGAGATGCCGAAGGCTGGTCGGTGGTTGATATACAGCTTGATGAACTCTTCCAGGTCAATGTCGGTCACATATTTTCCTGTTTCGGCATACTTGCTGAACTTGACCTCGTTATGCATATCCTCTACCTGGTAAAAAAAAAAGAAGCAATTTTAAATACAGCTTCGAAGTGTCAGCCACTTTTTGTGATCTTTTCACTGTCCAATAAGATCAATAAAATGACATTTGCTGCTGAAAAATGTCACTTCAGTTAAACGCATTTACCTCTTGCTCAGTAGGGTAATAGGCCAAAGCTCTCATAAGAGAGGGAGCTTCTGACAGGGGGATTCTAGTAGATACTTGTCGTTTCTCCAGTGAGTCGATGCCTTGATGACGGACTTGGCAGTAATAGAAAAAGTCTTCCATCTCCTAATGACAGAAAAGCAAATAAACTGAGGACCTGTGGTTAATATGGTATCAGAAATGCCTAAAACCCAAAGGTAGGAACTCCAAGGAAAAACTGATATCTTAATCTTGTGGCCTTGTATAATCTAGAAACACACTATATGTTTAAATACCAGCAATGATGTCCAATAGCAAGTAGACAACCATTGTATGTTGAATGTTATATTTTGCCAAAAGATATATACACTGTTAAAAATAATCACCCAACTCTCATAAAGAGTAACCACAAAAACAATGCAAGAAAACCTAAATACAACTAAATCAAATTCACCATTTAAAAGGGAAATCACTATAAATTGCTGGAAGAACCAGATCAACTCAGTGATACTACATAAGCTAAGTTAGTTAAGCCTTTATGGATCCCGACAGGGGAAATTCAGATAGTGCAGCAGCACAAGGATATAAATACAAAAACTATAAATTGATTCGAATCGAATTAGAACTATATCAAATTGAAATATTAACTATAAAAATTTTAACTATACATAAGCAATTAAACTCAAAATCACAAGGCATGAAGGTACTATCCATATACAAAGGCTCAATAAAACTGTCACTGTGTTGAGAACAGTATAATTAAAACCACAGGGCAAAAATTGACTTTAAACAAGAAACCAAATTCTTAAAAACACATATAAACATGCATAATAACATAATGCATAACTATAATAACCTTGATGGCACTGCACATTAGGCAATAGGACAAGTGTTTCTTATTTCAAGTTAACGGAATAATTTCTGGCTGTTCACTTAACATTCGTCGTAGGGAACACTTTTAACTCACCCTGTAGAACTTGCCGTCTCTGCCTCCCTCTAAAAGAGTGTAAAAGGGTACCATGTCCTTTCCTCCCAAGGCAGAAGCTGCCTCCAATGCACTGCATACACAACAAGAGAAGGGATTAACTCCAGAAAACATGATTACACTGCTCATGCATTTCCTCTGGTTCTCAGGTTGGTACCATTAAACCTTACTTTAAGCTTATCTCCCACGACAGGACGGTGCAGTCAGATCCTCCTGCAGTGAAAACAAACCGGCCATCATAGGAGCAGGCAAAAGAAGACACCCCTGTCGGATGGCAGATCAAAGCATTGGACTTGTAGGGGTTCCCGTCCAGAGGGAAAATCTGAAGACCCACCTGGAAATACAACACACTCTTGGTGGTAACATCAATAATGTGTATTGCTCTCACTAAAACGGCACTGGGCTTAAAACACAACTTAATTTGAATATGGTTGAAAAGCGTCTCACAAAGCAGGATTACACAAAACATATTCACACAATACATTTGTCCCACTTAACCCATAAAAATATGACCAAATATATTTTATTAACACTGACAAGAGGAACAGCTTGTTTGACAAGTGTTAATATAGGACAATAAAAGACAATATTTTTTTACTGGTAATAAATTACTTATTTTATACATAGAGCCCCATTTTGATTTTACAAAGCAGGTTAATTGATAAAATACCACAAACAAAATAAAGCAGATCATTTAATAAAATACTACAAGCAAATGCCAGCACTGACCATGTCCTCTGTGATGTATGCCAGGTAATATGAGTTAGTCTCAGGTTCTTTAGACATGGGAAGGACCGCTATTTTCTTAATGGGAGAGCCATATGCTGGGCCAAGGACAGTCTTTCTGTAACACATGTAATAATATTTTACAGTATTTGCGGTGCCATTATTTAACAATTAACATGATCTTGTTACATGGTTTCACAGACCTGCACATCTTGGTGGTGCTGTTGAAAAGCTTCATCTTGTATTGGTCTGAGGCAACGAGAAGAAATTGCTCTGCAGTGAGGGGAGGATACCAAGTCATGCACATTGGCACAGTGCTTTGCTCAATGCGCTCCGAGCTTAGGATGAGAAGCTTATTCACATCACTGTTTTCCAGGTCATACTCCACCTATTAATCAGTCCCACACATGCACTAAATTAGAATTTGGCATAAAAAGCAGTATGACAAAACATCAAACTAGTCCATAGTCCTACAATTTTGACAAAGTGAACTAACCAGTCGGCAGTCCATTCCCAGAGAGAGCAGTCTGGGCTGGGTGCTGTCCAGGTGAACCCCAAAAAGAAGGTCTTTAATGGGCTTGTAGTGTGAGTGGTATCTGCCCAGGTACGTCCAACGAGGCAAAGAGCCTTTATTAGTCTGTAAGAGGAAGACCGTCACTGCTTTTCCAGCATCCTAACAGAAAACAAGGAAATAAAACATCATCATACTTGAAGTTATAAGAATGTTAAAGCATAGAATTTCATAGGATTTACAATCCGCAATCATAGCCACAAATCTATGTTCTTTCATAATCACAGCTGTAGCAATAGGCCAAACTTTATATAATAAATTCCAGTCCAGAACCACTGCTGCTATTAACTAAGTTCAGACATATTACACTTGATCATCAAAAAGGCCTTGCTCACCGCAGTGGCGAGATACTGTGAGTCTGAGGAGAAAGTGATGTGATGAATGCTGTCTTCAGTGTAATGGAAACACTCCTCTGGATGACTTTGTAAAGTGCTGGAATTGAGTATGTGAACAGCTCCGCTGGCAAAGCCAACTGCCAGGTATATTCCTGTCCAGAGACAAAACGGCGCCTCTTTACATTGCAGAATGTAATGACAAATTAGGAATTCATGCAGCAGCTGGCTAACGCTGGTTATAAGCAAAAGCATTTGTTCGTTGCAAAGACAGCTGGCTCACCTTGAGGGTCAAAGGTGACACACTGAATGTGCTTCTCTGTCTCGAAGACCCTTCTGCAGATGACCACTTTGTTGTTATAGTCCCACACTTTTAAAATACCCCTCTGATTCCCCATGGCCACAGCTGGCTGTTTGGGGTGGCAGGACACTGCATGTAGAGGCTCACAATCCTCATGTAGCAGGATGTGAGGGATGCCTTTCTGTGTATTCACATGTACTACTGTGGAACTGACTGTGGACGCAACAAAGTTCCTGCAAGAAAAAGAGAGGTCAGCTTGGCTAAAACAAACAGTTTAGACTGAAGACATACTAGACTGTATTTCTTCTACCTCATGATAAATGGTTTTGCCTCGAGAGCACAGTCCTCCAGGTATCCCTCTGTACACTCTTTGGAAAAGGAAATGGAAATAATAGTGTCCAGGTTGAATTCACTGTACCAAGTGAGAAGTATGAAGTCTTCATCATAAAACTTGATGTGACCTTGAGTGTCACCAGTTACGATACAGCTGTGATATCAAACAACACACAGACAGAGAGAGATTAGAGACCAATAAATTCATGCCACTTTTATAAAACAATAACAATGAATATTTCTGGCTCTGGCTACCCGTCAGTTACGGCGAGGGCAGTGATCGGATCTTTCTGAAGGTGAATGAGCTTGACTTTCTCTCTGGGGAGGCTTCGGTTTGCAGCTAAGTCTTCCATCACATCCCACACCACAAGGCTGCCCGCTGCAGTCGCTGTTAGGACCTGCCGCTCTCTCCAGTGAAACACAGACTGGCTGACTGATCCACAAGCCATATTGACAGTTTGAGAAGGCTGCGTGAATATAGTAGCATCAGATTCACAGGTGGCTGCATCACAGAACTTCTGGTGAACAGGTGACTCATTGCCATAAAAGACAATTTGATTTAATCTTCTACAGCATTTTTAATGATCATCTTTACCTTCTTAAGCTTCAAGGCAACGTATTGCAGACTTCCCTGGGCCTGAAAAAAGACCAGCTGATTTTTCAATAAACATACACAAAACAGCTGTATTATGTATATCAGTACACAAAGAAACTCACCCTGCTGTAAAATAACACCTGGCGTTCACTGCTGCTGAGCAGCTGAGTGCCATCATTTGGATTAAAAACGATGTAATCCTAAAAAACAATCAGACATTGGAACATTTGATCTCTTGAATGTCACATCCATTAAGTTATGTGACATTTAAATGTTGAAAGAAGACAAAAGTTACTTGCTTGAAAACCATGATTAGGATTGAGTTCAGTAAACCACAAAGGCTTTTCTGTTCCATTTGTCCAATCCCAAATACACACACACTGTGAAAAGATCAACATGTGGTTAGTAGATGGTGAATAGATGGAAAGACATTTACTGTTTCACACTGTCACACCCAAAATTAAATACCAATCATCTAAGCTGTTTTTGTGTTTTCTGAACTTGGAGTTGCAATTTTACCTCTAGAAAGAGTGCAGTTCTGAGATACTGACCATTTGATTAAAAGGTGCATTGTTTATATCTTTTAAAATGTTTTAACATAAAACAGTCCCTAAACCCTAATCCTAGAAAATACAATAAAATCATGACAGATGAAGATTGTAGATCCTAATATGCTGCACTATCAAGAGACACACAATTTGGAGCTTTTACATTTAATATGACAGAAAGTCACGCAGTGTTTGGTGGTGTTACACTCTTGACCTTTGTTTGAAAGGAGAAGTAACTCTTCTACTTCAAAATTAGAGTCCAGTGGGTGTCTGTTTCCTCTTAATCATCAACAAAGCCCAGAATGTGTTACTTGGCAAAACCACAGATCACAAATCCATCTCTACTTTTTCCTTGATTGGACATTTTGCAAGCTAGAATAAACAACAGTATATAGTCTGTAATGTTTCATTTACTCTGTCCAATCCAACCCTGCTTTCGTACTCACTTGAACTTCCTCAGCCCCGAGGGTTACCAGATGTTTTGTGTCTCTTGAAAATGCCATTGCTGTGACGCCCCCCTCTGGGTGGCAATCGAACAATGTATGCACAGGAATGCTGGAATATTTATATGTGGTTACCATCAAGAAGAATAGTTAATACATAAAAAATGCTAACATGTAGAATAAAAAGATATACCCCGAGTAGGAGTCCCATATCATCACAGTGCTTTTCGGCCCCTGGTCAGCTGATGCAATCCAGCGTCTGTCTTCATTCACACACATACATGAGATGGGGCGGGAGTGACCCTGAGGAGATTGATTATATACTGTACAGTGCACTTTTTAAATCAACAACGCAACCGGCATGTTAGTACTATCAAAAGATATCTGTAGCCACCCATGTTTCTCATGCTCCTGACTAAATCTGAAGGATGCTGTTTCATCTCCTTTTTTATTACATATTCCTCACAAAGAAGTGATTTATACCTGAAGTATGTGCTGGGAGTTTGAGGTGTGATTGTATATGATGCCAACATGAGCTCCAGCATAGAGGACCACCAGCTGATCATGGTCTTGCATAATGAAGGCGGGGAGAGTGGGATTCATCCCAAATACCCATTCCAGTGACTGAAAGAAGAGCAGATATTGTTTAGAGCCAATGAACGTTTCTCAGATAACACTTTTGTCTAATGAAAATACCTTTTGTTTGTGGTGAATATTTTACTGACTCGTCTGCACTTGTAGAGGGTCAATATACAAATAGATCTCATTTTGTACAAATACACACATTACCAAATACCAGACATACTTACTAATGCATGTGTTCCAGTATGAGTTATCTTCTTTGGGAAAAGTGTGTCTCTGGTTGCTGAGTAGACTTGAGACTGTCCAGTCCTCTTGAGGATGTCAGCCTCTGTTTCCTCTCCAACTCCTGCACTCCTCCTGTCCTCCTCATTGGTCTCTGTGTCCTCTCCAACTCCTGCACTCTTCCTGCCCTCTGTCTCTGTTTCCTCTCTAACTCCTGCACTCCTCTTGTCCTCCTCATTGGTCTCTGTGTCCTCTCCAACTCCTGCACTCCTCTTGTCCTCCTCATTGGTCTCTGTGTCCTCTCTAACTCCTGCACTCTTCCTGCCCTCTGTCTCTGTTTCCTCTCTAACTCCTGCACTCCTCTTGTCCTCCTCATTGGTCTCTGTGTCCTCTCTAACTCCTGCACTCCTCTTGTCCTCCTCATTGGTCTCTGTGTCCTCTCTAACTCCTGCACTCCTCTTGTCCTCCTCATTGGTCTCTGTGTCCTCTCTAACTCCTGCACTCCTCCTGTCCTCTTCCTTTGTTTCAGCATCTGACATTCTGTCTAATCAAACACTTCACGTCTCTGCTTGTGGCAAAGTTAACTTAGGTAACATTAGACTAAATCAGCCGAAGACTAACATTAGGCAATGAACGATTTCGCAAATAAATTAACCCGAAAACCCACCACCACAATAGCCTATCGATTTTGTATACTCAGCCTCATTTAAACGACAAAAACTTTATGTTTAAATCGCTTTCTATTAAGTCTTAACTTGTCTTTTGTGTGAAAAACAAAATCTCTAAAACGTTAGCTCCTGCGAAGCGTCTCGTTGCCAAGTTACCTTTGAGCAAGTGGAAGACGAGTGACGCGCTTTGAAATAGGTGTTCCGCTCAGGCATTTCAAATTAAGAGCACGATTAATAATACATTTTAACAGTTGGCTGCTTTTTATATACAGTTTATGGTTGGCTGCAGTTACCAGTATTTGTTATTTTTGTTTTTTGTAACGAATAATTGCTAAATTGAATGACCTTGATTGAATTAATTCTTGTCATATTGAAATATATAATATCATATTAAACAAACAGAACTTATAAAGATCTGATAAAGTATGATGCTGTTTAAGTTTAATTTCACATTTACAAGTTATATTACCAACGCAGCAAAGCAGACCACGGGAGGGTCTGGGTCCCATGGTCCATGTGGCAATTACAATGCAGTAATTAAATTAATTGCAAATGTATTTATTAGTAATATATACTAACATATATACTATTTGAAATAGGCTAATATAGTATTTGGCTGGTTAGCAGAGAAAAGGGAGTGAATTGGGAGCAAGTTTTTCCTCCTAGGAGAAGGGAATGGTCTTAAGACCAACAGTGACAGAAAATAGCCTGTTAACCACGTTAACAAGTAGGCCTTTATTTTGGGTTCTACCGGTTCTACCACTTCATCAGTTTCTGATGGGAAACTCTACATACATGAATTGCAAGGGGAAAAATCCCCTTTAAACCTGCCTTGCATGAAATGAGGATAAGAGGTAATGTTGATTGAATTGGGGTTCATGAAAAATATAAATTAATTAATAAATGTTGATATGATAAATTACTTATTGGGGAAATTAGCTTGTAGGCTATAGGCTTCATTATCATATTTGACATATTCATTTGATAAATCTAATTTAACTTTTGTCCTTTCTTAAAAAGACTGTTGAAGATGAATCACAGTCTTCCTGTTTAAAACACCACAGTTGTATTTGGAAACAAATTCTTAAAAACTGAGACTGGATGAAAACAGACAGGATATGGTCTGTTGTTCACTTTCTGGGTCATAATGAGAATCTGTAGAGGATATCAGAATATTTGAGGGGGATTTTCTCTTCTTGAACTAATTTTAGGGGCATTTACAAAACTCTGAAATAATGTATAATTGTTACATTGTTTTTATTTGTTTTTATCTGTTTTAAGTCTCAAGGAAAAGCACGCCAACATGCACATGGTCACTTGCACTGTTTCATATTTGGTAATTTGTTTTATAGGTGTAAAAACTAGTTTTTTAATTTTAGTATTGTATCATTTATTTTGAATTTTGATATTGTTAGTATTATGTTAATGTCCTTTATCACTTTACTTTATTCCACGCTATCCACTTTCTGCTGTAATGTTGAAATTTCTCACCTGTGAGACAAATAAAGGCTGATCTAATCTAATCTACTGTAAAATAAACACTCAATTTGCGGCGCAAAGATGTGTTTTATTTGAAAGATAAGTGAGAACCCCAAACCGCCCTGTTTAATTCTGAACGGCCTCAGTCATGCTGCTGCAGCACTTTGTTTTTCCCTCCGTCGGCTGTTGTGTTCTTCTACTCGCTTCTGTATGGCTACACATTAGGACTGCAGGATTACTAGGCCTAGCCCAGTTCGTGATATTTCTGCTACTGTAATTTCGATTTAGCAGAAATGCATATTTTGTGTAGACATAGCTATGGTTTATTTTCTTTGGACGTGGACAATCACCTACTGGCCGTCAAGTTTATTGAAATAATTTGATGGATGGCAGATAGGCTATATATATTAAAAAAATAGAAACAAATTAGGCATTTGGAATCGGATAAAAAATCGCTTCACGTTCTGTCTCAACACACCAAAAGAGAAATAATTGTTAAATTTTATAACAATAATAACTATTATTATTTTGTTTTTTAATAGTTAGAATTCATTTTATTATCAGTTGTGTGTATTTGTTGAATGTAAACTCATAAACCAAATTAACTTTTTTCTTAGTCACAGTGAGTCTTTTTGAAAAGATTTACCGGAAGTGCTAGAATACTGTCATGTCAGCATTGACGGCACTTGACGAATCTAACTTTTGTGGTGCAGTTTGTAAATGTGACCACTGGGGGGCAGTGAATCCCCTGATCCTAAACAAACGTCATGCATCATGTGAATCACTTGGAAATACTTGGATTTTGGGGAAGAGGACAGTTTAGTCTGAACTATTATAATTATGTACATTTTGACTATCTGGGAATCTTTTCATTAAAAGAAAGAGACCTCAACACAATACATTAAATATAATATGAATGATTGAATAACAGGCAAGACATGAGGCATTATGTGTTTTCAGTGACTGGGAAAGGCTGAGACAGATTACTTTGACAGCAGAAAAAAACGTGAAGAACCTGCTGAGGTTGTTTTAACAGAAGATGACATGCAGGCGGAAGAAGTGGAAGAAAGCAAAGAACAGAAAGTAAGTAGGCCTACGTAAGTAAGCAGGAGATTTAAAACCATTTATAGGCCCACAACATAACTACTATGCTCTAAGTCTTCAAGAAAGTTTGTTTGGAGGATATCAGAACCCATAAAACTATCAAATATTCAGTATAAACTACAAACAGCAGTTTGATAACCAAGTAGGCTACGTGTTATTATTAAAGTATCAGGCAACTAAAATGAAATTAAAAACCAGAGAGAATTTTCAAAATCACTATCTGTATTTTGCCACTAACGAATGTAAACAACTGAGAACAATTAGCATTTTTCAATAGCTATTTGCTATTAGCTTCAGTTTGGCCATTATATTTTAAGAGTTTTCACTGGACATATCGTCATGTCTTCATTAAGGGACTGTGATTAATTTATGCATCGCTGTCCCTCCCTGTGACCACTGATCAATAAAATCATACTATGTTTCAATATCTATTTCATGAAATTGTATTTTGAATACTCGACTTTGGAGGATGAGAATAACAATTCTGTCAGGACTGAGTTAATTTTGTAAATCTAGACAATATTTTTAAAAATGTATTTAGCAAAAGAAACCAATCAACATAAAATATGTTATAAATATATGACGTCAATAAGAGGAAAGAAATGTTTTCCAGTAAGTCCGGGGAAGGTGTGATATTGACATATTAAATTCACCTCTTCTTTAATTTCACAGTTTTTTTCTCCCAGTTTCTTTCACCACATCCTCTGTTACCGATGTTCAAACCAAGCATTTTAATTTTACTTACGTAATACGTAAAATAAATAAATACTGAAAATGGAAAAGAAAAAAGAAAGTGGGTTATGTAATAATTCTACAAGTGCATAGTTTAACCGTTTTGATAGGCTTACTTACTTGTTTGGGGATATCGTTTCAATATATATTTTAGTTTCTTTACAATACAGTGTATATTACTTTGGCATTAGTGAAGTTACATTTGTGGATATAATACTTGAAATGAAATGAAATCAGGAAGCTTTTGTAAACCAAAAATGACATTTTATACAGTAGTCCAAAATGTTGATACTAAAACGGTGGAGGATCTGTACATTACATAAATATACATTTTTATACATTATACATTTATCCTGTGAACCAGGTGATATCAAGGTTCAGGAATGATATTGTGGAAATATGTGTGTTTTGCAGTGGCAAGGCTGAAACCATTTGTCATTTATTTTATAATTTTATTGGTACAAAATTATTTTCTGTAGATTAAGAATATTACTTTAGATCCCTGAATGTTTCATCTATTAGTTTGCAAAAATTAGACATTATATTTTTTTTATGACAAAATTGATCTTTGTAAAAGGGTATGTATTTTGAACCTCTTTATTTAATATTTTACATTACAAGTGCAAATGGTCTTGGCAAATGGAAACCACAACTTGCACATTTTAGATAAAATAAATATTATGTTGAAACTTTATGTGGTTTAAAGAATAGTAAAGCAATCAAAACAGTTAAAATATATAAAGACTTAAATATTTTAATGCCTATTGTTTGTTACATGATACCCTTTTGTTTATTGATTATAGCTGTGTCCTGTTTTTTTTTTTTTTTGTCGTTTTACGTACTTTTGTTTTGGCCAAAGATCTTTTCAAGAGAGAAAAAAAAAGTTTGAAAAAAAGATCGGTCCACTTTTGCTTTGAAAGGTCGGCACCGTGTCGAAACATCACTTCCGCTAACGTCCAGCGTTGCGTTTGTTTCCAGAAGGGTTTCCGGGTCTCACAGCTTTGAAAGCAGCTGATTTTCTGGTTGCGTTTCTTTGCCGTCGACTTGTGATTTAGTGCATTGTCGCTCCCTCTGTTTTGTACTTTTTGTAACAACACCTCACTGGTCGAGGTCTGAAGGATTATTGTTCTCATTGTGGAGGTCATGATGAGTTTGTGACGGTTAGGACACCAGAAAGTGAAAAAGCACTGCGAGAAGGAAGGAAGTTAGTTATGATGACACCAGCTGACCGGTGAGGAGGCACTTTAGTAACTGGTACCTTTTAATTATGGATATTTGCTTTTTCACTGCGAGACAAGTTGAATTAAGTTATTTAGTAGATTGAACCTACATATATTCGTTAAACAGTCGTCAGCTTTAGCCGCTCGGTGTTAGCTGACGTTAGCCTGGTTAAATCCAATCCCCTCACCTGACAGTCAGCCACAACGTGAACCAACACTCAGCTCTCTTAAACCTGTTATTGCGCTTTTAATAAGGACTTTAATGTGAGGTTTAACAGTATTCTGTCATGTTAGCTTCTTATGGCGCGTTGCTGTTGTATTAACATTGTGGAAATGTTTCTAAATAGCGTAAATAGTTAATAATCAGACACTTGAAAGAGTCAGTAAAGGATATCTAAGTAATTTAGGAGAAAGAAACACTGACTGGCAATGAAACTGTGCATGGTTAAGTAGTTAGAACACAGTGATACATTTTTGGAATGCATTTCCTTTAAATAATTAGCATTTTTCTGGGTTAATTAGTAAATTATTAATAAACACAACACAGTCTTTGTCAGTTCGCTGGTGTGTTTTTTTTTTTTATTTCTGGTTCTCTACTGTTTATGAAAGTATCTGCCTGTCGTTTTCATAGAAGCAGAACCTTGACAATTTCTCAAATTAAACCAATATAGCTAACAATTTTCATCCCCTGAACTGCAACACATCATAACATTTTGAAAATAGGAAAATGAGTGTTCCTGGGATTATAATGTGCTGTATTGCAGCATTGTGTGTTCTAGTCCACTGATGCGTGAACTGGGCCAAGTTAAGACGCCTGAGGTTATGTGCCAAGTTTAGCACAGCCAGGCTATAGTGAACAGTAAGCTTGTGAGATTTAGGCAGCCTGCAGTCACAAACACGGGTAAAGAAGTTAACTTTCAAAGGTATCATATTAGAGCTACACAGTATAGTGAAAAACTTTTATTTGGTTGAAATATTAATGTTGTGTCCAATAGGTGGGAGTAGTAAATGAGAGAGCTCTACAATGTGGACTGACAAGCAAAGAGGAATCAGGGTTTCTCAGGAGGAGCTGCTCTGCAAGAACGCCTGTGGATATTATGGAAACCCTGCATGGCAAGGCTTCTGCTCTAAGTGCTGGAGAGAGAGAGCACGTCCAGAGAGCACATCCAGAGAGCCGAGACAAGACACAAGGTAGACACAATGCTTATACCAATGAGACTCAAAGGAGCAGTTAGACCTGTTAGCTGACGCTGGTATGATATCAACACTGTGGTATCCGTGATCGATTCTTGTCACAACATCTTAAAAGTAGTACATGATAGAAACTTCATAGTTACACAATTGATTGCACCTGAATATACATTGGAGGACATTGTTATGCATATTAATTATACAATTATACATTACACATATACAAAATACAATTATAGTAACTACTAAATTATTTAATTTCTGAAGTTAAAAGTGACAAAGTTAACAATGAAACAATTGCTAACATATTTATTCGGGGTTTTTTTGGACTTATCAGCTTGGCACAGTTTAAGTCCTTTCGCTTTAAACTGGGTTTAGGTTCGGATGTCTAATGTTGTCAATCCTTGTAGGCCGAGCAATGATGGAGCTCCTCCCACCTTCTCCAAATTTGAGGAGAAGAAAAACATTGAGAAAGGTCGTCGAATAAACACGATGAGGAGACTTTTCTGGGGCACCCCGTCCCCTCCAAAGCATCAAGGTAGTTCTGTTAGCTTAGTGTCAGTTCCATCAAGCCGAGCAAGTACCTGCAGAAGGTTTGGCCATGTTCCCATAGGGTGAACAATCCCTCCATCAGCTGCTTTACCACATCTGGTTCAGACACCAACTGTATTTCCTCAAGGTCAAAGCAAAATGTTGTTCAGCAAAGGCAACAAAAGCGATTTTTGAAAAGAAATGATGAAAAGCCTCATTCACAGCACAACTAAGAGCTTGTAACTGCAAGTGCAAACGTTTGATGGCTTGAAGGGCACATTGCTGCTGATTGTGTGTCTTGTGATTCTACAAAGTCTATTGAGATGAATGCAAAAACTTTTGATTTACTGACCTTTTTTGGTCTTCTGTGTTTGCAAATTAGCAAAATTGTTTTCATTGATGTGTTTCTCCAACACTTTCCTGAGGCCTGTCTCACGAAGCATAAAAGATGGATGGAAAAATAGCTGTTTCTGATTTTTCTGTTTGATCACCAGAGGCACCTCTTCAGCACATGATTTCTAGTTGCAGTTAGGTAATGATAAGACGTTTTTCTTCATTGTATAAAGTACAGATAGGTCCCCATGTGCACACATGTGGGTAGTGTAGTACTCTTATCCCTACAGGTTCACAACCAAACTGTGGGTACTGCAGACAGGGATTGAACCTGGGTATCTTAACTTGTGTGGCCCATTGTTTGATTATTTTACCAAATGCAGGGACTAGCCCAGTGTTTCAACAAATAGCCAATCTGAGTATGGGTTTTCAGTCTAACTACACTTGTTGTCCCTCTAGAGCCTTCTGAAAGCCACACAAATGTGTTAAAAGCCTACCAGAGCCTTGAGCCCGGGGACTTCCCTGGTTTCCTAAAGATACTAAAGAGCCCTTCCTCCCAGCGCTTGCAGTCCCGATGTACAGCTTTCCTCAACACAATGGAGGCTTACCATGTAATTATCTGTTTTAAAAGTTTGAAATTACAGTTCTTTTAACTTTTCTTTAGTATGTCAGAGCTGTTCTGATTATAGATTCTCATTATCTTTGCAGCACCTCCCAGTACAAAAGCAGTCAGATCTTGTGCAAGATTTCTACCAGTCCTTTGCTGAATATTTTAGCAGTGAGTACAGATCAATTCAACACTTCTTGGGTAGTTTATTCTGAAAATGTGAGAATACTAAATGACTTTCGAGTTGGTATTTTCGTTTTCAGGTTTTCCTGAAGCTCAGGTCACTCAGATAATGGAGCACGTCGAGAAGTTAATAATGACACGTTTGCACAAATGGGTTTTCTGCCATGACAGCTGTGATGATGAACAAAAGGACCTGGCTCTCCAGAGAAGGATACGGTAAGCCTTATATACAGGCCACTTGTGTTTTACTTGTACCCGAAGACCTGTTTGACACTGACGTCTTTACTTTGCAGCTCCCTAAACTGGGTTACTCCACAGATGCTGAGCGTACCTTTTCCTGACAAAAAGACTGCAGTCACAGGCGACCCTTTTCTGCCTGCTATAACAGGTAACAGGGTGTATTTAGTGAACAGACGTGAAAGTGGTTTTGATCTTGTCATCTAACTTGCTGCCAGGAAGCGAATAAGTGTATTTCCCAAAATGTTGTGCTACTCCTTTAAGCTCATGAGAGAAAGCAGTATGTTTCTGGTACACTGTAAACATCATTAAATGGTCTGAAATGCTAGTCTTTGACATTTTGTCCTGCTCTGTATTTTTTTAACAGCTATTATTGAAATGGATGCAAAACGAGCGCCTCAGGACAAACTTGTTTGCGTGTCCAAATGCAGTCAGCATGTCTTTGAAGCGCTCTCCACCTCAAACAGTGAGCCTGCTAATGCTGATGACTTCCTGTCAGGTCTGATTTATGTGGTGCTGAAGGCCAATCCACCTCGGCTACACTCCAACATGCAGTATGTGATTCGTTTTGGTCTCCCTCACAGCCTGATGGCAGGAGAGAGCGGCTACTATTTTACAAATTTGGTAATTTTATTGCTTTTGTTACTCATCCAGCGTACACCACAGGATGCTGTGTACCCAGGTCAGTTGAACACTCATGCCGTTTTGCCCTTGTCACCTGTTTTAGTCTTGTGCTGTGGCCTTCATTGAAAAGCTGGATGGACCAGCACTCAACCTTAGTCCAGAAGAGTTTGAGGCCTACATGCTGCGTCAGCGGGCTCCCTCTGCAGGAAAGAAGAGGCTGCAGGTTTCCAATGATACACAACACCTGTTCGAGGAGCTAACAGGCAGGCAGGAGAAGCTGGACCAAGGGATGGATGCTCTCAATACGCAGCTACAAACGTGGGTCCAAGCTGTTCATTCACAACTGGATGAGGCAACAGCCCAGCTTGCTCTGGTACAGAAGGAGATAACGGCTCAGGCTGAGCTCTCACAGGTTTTTTCATCCTCATCCCACGATGCATCACTGCAAAAGGATGGCGAAGATCAGTCTGTGCTGGTGTGTAATGATGAACATGCAGGTCCAAAAGATACAGACAGTTAGCTACACTAACAAAAACAGCTAATCTGGTGCTTGACTCTTGTTAATCAGCAGAACTAATTTATGTATGATGCAAAACAAACACAGATTTATATTCCAGTGCCACATTTGCGCAAGTTCCAACCACAGAAATCTTGCCAGTTTAACATGAAGGAAAATTTCTTGAAGGAAACTTTTTTGCATTTGGTATCACAGGGCACACAGAGGTTTTTGAATGACTTTGTTAAAAAGATTTGCACTGTTTCAGGACAAAGGCCATTTAAAATACAGTCCAATTTATGGTAACAGATGTGATCAAAATGAAGATTTAAGCACTCAGGGTAAACAGCCCTGAGAGATATCACCTAACACTTTATTAAGCGTGCTTATTTAATATTAACTTTTTCTATTAGTGTATACACATGTGCCTAAATGTAGACCACTGTGAACTTAAGAAATATGTTACAGGAGAAAATGTGAGGGGGCAGTTATAGACCACAACGAGTCAGGGGGTGTATTTATTCAAAATGTGTTTTTTCAGGGCTGTGTAACTGTTCTCAACATGTTCACTGTTTGTACAAAGATGAAATACCTGGTGTAAAACAATTTGTAACACATGTTTACAACGGTTTACAATTGTTTCTGAAGAAATTAAAGGGGTTTATGTTATAATCGATGATTGTATCCAATATTATATTAAAGTTGATTTATATGATTTAATGTACTTTAGTGAATTTTGAGCATACAATTATTTAGTGTGTTTAAGTATTTTAGTATTTGACAGGTGTACTTTGTTTTGGAAAGTGGAAGAGATTATTTGTGTTTTTCTTTTTTTTAATGTATCATAGAAAGGAAATGGCGGGTCAGTCACTAAAAAAAACTTAAGTTCTTATTTTTAACTTTATATTTAACACTGAACCTGCTTTTCCACTGCCTAAGTACTAATAGTTATTGTCAATTATACTGTTACATGTTTTTAGACAATGCTGGAGTTAGATGCCCACTATATATTTATAATAATGTACGTAACTTTGAATGTGACAAATATTCCAGCCGGTTTTTGTACTATTTTCCTTTGGAAAGACCATCTTGTAAATGAATGAAGGGTTGGGAATTATTTACACACGACTGGCCTTGACCAGTTAGGGTCAGTCAGAACCCTTTAAAGAGCTTTGGGGGCAGTAAAGCGTCTACACCGCCATTCGTCTGCCAGAAGGAAGAAGGACGTCAACGTCAGCGCTGTCTGCGTTACGTCAAGCCGGAAATACCATCCTCGGTGGTTGGACCCCGGATGTAGCTTCAATGCCCACCCGTTTTGGGGCAAGTACCGCCCTCCTCGTTTTTGAATGCTAGCTGTGGTCGCGAGTGTAAATATCGGCGATATGAAGAACAAGAAGTAAGTGTCACATAATTTTGTTATAATCTTTTAATTGAAATGGCCTTAAATGACCCGCTTAGACCTAATGTAGAGATAAATATATTATCTATCAACATATTTAACCGGCTTTCTTCACACATTAGCTACAGGGTGCTAGCTACTAACTGTTCATTGGCTACTAACGTTACTAGTACAATTAATGATAACGTTAGTCTCGTAGGTTAGTGGTGAAGTAAGTTAACTAACAAGTGACCTATTTAATCTTTATTTCAATCACATTTGCCTGATTATATAGATAGACACAACAGACTAAGGTATATTTTTATTATCTGAATAGGGGAGAAAATCTGACAAATCGCCTCAGCAATGCGGAGCGGTTTCACTGCACAGCTCCATCTGCGAATGTGGACCAGTACCCCGAATTGATGGTAAGTGATTTGTCAGGAGGAGACACACACTGATGACTGAAGTACATGATTTACATAAACCACATGCATAACTGTCTTGCTGTCTTAAACGGAGGCTCACCTGACAACCAAACAGTCTTGGATGTTAGTTTTCAGAACAGATGAAAGAAGAAGATACTTTATTGTCACATACACATACATGTTGCGAAATTCATTCTCTGCATTTAACCCATCCCTCAAGGGAGCAGTGGTATATTTCATTTAGTCTCTCGATAACATCGTGTTTGTCTGTGATGTAGGACTTTTTGCCAAAGGACTATCAATATCACATATGCAGTTACAAAGTAGTGAACGTGGGCAGTGACCATATGGATTTTGAAGCCACCCTAAGGATGTCCCTCAAATCAAAGGAGGATATACTGGTGTGGCTAAAGTCAATGCCAGTTACATGGAGAGTGGACTACACTAGGCCTACCAAAGGCTCAAAGATCATCTTCAAAGTAGGTTGTTCAGTTGTTCTTTACTGAGTTGGTGGTAAGGCAACATTTCTGGTTATTCATTACATTTTCTCCATCAGCCACTTCTTTCAATATGAAAATCTGAAAGGGTTTGAAAGGTTATTACTGAAAAGTATCCTTAGTCTGTCGAAGGGCAGTTATTAATGACTGGTGTCCAGGGTGGACAGTATTTGAGCAGAACTACTTTATTACTTAAGTACTATTATTGAGTATCGGTACATTACTTGATTCCTCCATGACTAAAACCACCATTCACCAAGTTTAAACAAAATATAGTAAATGTATAAAAATATAGTAAATGTATAAATTATGACCTAATTATTCATTTTTGTTGAAATTTACTCAACGTCATTATCAAGTAGACATTTTGGTGTCTAAAGTAGACAGAGTCAGTTTTGTGATTAGTACCTAATACTTTCACTTGAATCGTCAGAAGAAAAAGTAACTGTACTTTAACTTAAGTGTGGACTGTCAGTACTTTCTCTTTAATAACTTTTCCCACAACATTTTAGACAGAATACCGATGCCAGCATAACACCAAGCCCAGAGCAACACCAAAGGAAGGCAGGGCATCCAAAAATACAGATTGCCCTGCAAAACTTAAAGTTACCCTTGCACGCACTGAGGTCTCCAATGGACGACAGAGCAGGTCTAACAAACAAACCCCACTTCATTTCCTAAGCAATGCTTGTGTTAATTTGATAATGTATTTCTGTACATATTCGTTTAACAGAAGGAGTTTTGCTCTCTTCCTTCCAGAAGTACCGATCCTCACATTCCAGATTACCCCACACTTGTGGACATTGTGAATGTTCACAACCACAACATTCATGTGGCGGATGCTGTGCGTCACCTGGATGTGAGCAGCAAGGCTGTAAAGCAACTCACCAAGTTTGAGGCTGGGCAGTCACCATCCTCAACACTTGATGCTCTTAACTATGATCTTCTTGTTCAACTTGGGAATGATTACCTTGACAAGCATGAGGCTGATGAAACACTGGAAGGTCAGTTTAATTAAAATGATACATGTTCACAATGATGTGTTTAAATATATACATTGCCGATTTAAAAATACAAGGTAATCCAATGCCCTGTAAGGATACCAATGTCTTTTTCTCCCCCAGCTGTTAGAGTCAGCGCACAGGAGTGGGACTCCATGAGCCGTGAGTTTGCAGCAATGGTGCAGAGCAGTGAAAGATTTCAGGTGGCAGGATCAGCCTTCTTAAGGGCCTTCAACAGGCTGAAGGGAAATCCCTCTATGATGCAGGCGGCGATGCACATGTTTGGCTGCTATGGTGCAGGCAGCCTGGCTTCAAAGCGAGCAGGAGGGCTACGGCGGGACGCTAAGCATACTGGGCCAAGCATAGCCACACAGCCCAACTCTGTTGCCCGCCAAAAGGTGAAGCTTGTGGGTAGACGTCGACTCATCACTCAGAAAATGACTCAAAACTATTTAGCAACCGTGGACCATCGCTACAGCTATCCAGGAGAAGTGAAGTCTGTCTCAAGCTGTAGAGGTGTGTCGCAGAAACCCAAAATAATGGATGCTCCACCACCGCTCCCCTAACCTTTCTCCCCTCACCCTTCTCCAAAGAGGCTGGATGCTAAACCACCACGCCCCTCAACCCATTACTCTCCTGGAGTTCTTTTGTATATAGTTTATTGTATATAGTTCTTTTATAAACCTATACAAAGGGGTGTACATTTAACTGTGTATACTGGTAGTTCCTTTATGTGGAATGGCTCCTATATAAAATGGTTTACAAGGTACAAGGTTGTTTATCAGTCATTATATAGCACAAGGCTGCATAATGAATGACGATGCTACATGTTTATAGCACTATATGACTTATTTAACCATACCGGCCAAAGATGTTTCATAGTCTAAAAAAATCTGTCATCAGTCACTTGTTTACTTAAATTATCTATGGTTTCTTCACTGCATTTTCCAAGGTTTTTCAGTAGTGTGTCTGGCCTTGTTTTTACCAACATAAAACATATCTGTTATTTGTCATACTTTAGCTTTTTGTTGGTATCTGTGCTTTCCTGGTTAGCTGAAAGAGAACTGCTCAAAAGAACTGCACATTTTACTACATTTTATATGAATAATATTTTCTGTTTTTGTACAAATAAAATTGTGCATTTTGTTATTCTTTTTGTCTGATCTCTTTGCATCTTCAGCTGCTCTTCACTTCCCAACTAGGGTCTTCTATAATGGTGTGGCCTTAATATGTGCCCCTAGGGTGACGCATATGACTTATTAGTGCCATAATTTTGTGGTTGGTCTTTTATTATGAAATAGAAAAGATCTGATTAAATTTATGCTAATACTTAGGAGGGGCATAATAAGCATTGCTTTTTCCCTAGATACAATAATGTTAATTTAATTGAAAAGCTTTAATTTTATCTTTTGCAGTTTTCTAACCCTTTGTTTTTGCTTTTATCCAAAGCGACAATAATATGTTATATGAATAAAGTTATGGTTATGAATAGATGATTTGCTGCGAAGCAAATTTATATGAACAAATTGCGTAGTTAAATTAAGTTGTATACCCTCTGTAGATATAAGTATTTAAAATATATTATTTGTTTATTAATTTAGTGTTGCTACCGGGACTTACTGTATATTATTATTTAATCTTCGGAAATCAGAAATACTTTATTGATCTCCGAGGGGAAATTCTGTGTCACAGTTGCACATCAAGGCATAAGGAGTAGAAATTATTGAAAGTTGGTATATAAAGAAGTAAATAAATATAAAATACAAAGAAAATATAAATGAGTGTGGATATGTACAATATTTACATAATTAAAAGAATTGCTTTGGGGAACAGTAATACTGAATAAATAGTAGCAGTAGCTTATGTTATATGTTACCATATTTTAAGACATTAGTTATGTGTGTGTAGCATAAAGGGACTATGAACTCTTCGCCAATCACAGCAAAGAATGACAAATCTAGCATCCAATCACAAGGATGTGTCGAAGAAACGGGTACTATCCAATCACAGCACAGTAGGGCGGGACTTGCAGCAAAACGGGTGGGAAAGAAGTGGCGCCTCACACTGAATTGAGCAGCCATGAAGATGACAGAGGAAAACAGTTCTGGAAAGTGGGAAATAACAATGGATGATGTAAAAAACCTTGTTAAAAAGAAAGATGAAATAGAAGAGCAGATAAAAGCTTATTACGATGTTTTGGAAGACGTAAGTTTGTCAGATAATCAGACGTAACTCACTTGCAGCCCAAAGCTAAGCCAGGGCCACAGGCATTAATTGTGAATGTTGTTAGCTTAACTTAGCTAAACATGCCTTTCCTTCTTTACTTTATGTTTACAGCAAGGTGTTGGAGTTGAAGATCCATTGGTTGACGAAGAGGGCTACCCCCGAGCAGATATTAATTTATACCAGATCAGGACAGCAAGACACAATATTTCATGTAAGCAGCAGCGTGCTTGTTGTTATTGGTTGAGACATTGTCTGTTGGCCACATTTTTACCAGAAGCAACACAACTTCCAGAAACGTCAACCTGTTAACATCACGTTACTGTGAAAGGTCAGGAGATCGAGTCATCTGTTATAATAACACCGATTGGATTGTCATTGTATGATGTTTAGTTATAGCAGACAACTTTTCAGTGATAATTTCCAAACATTCTCATAACCAATGTGATTGAAGCCAGAACCAGTTACCTGATATTTCCCACAATACTGTATATTATGTGACACCAACATGCAATAGTTTAAACCTAGCATTAAAACAAGTTTAGTTTTTCAGATGATTGAAATGTAAATGTTTGTCAGGACAAACTGTCATAATCGCAGTTGCACAAATGGCCAAATGTTGGCAATTGATTAAGTTTCGACCAATACTAATACCACTTTTTAAAGATTGATACTATAGAGTGATAGATATAGCGTGTCAATATCACTGTACTGCTACTAATGCATATTTAGATGTTTTATTTATCTGCTAATAATTTTCTTGATTTATTGTTTCATCTGTAAAATGTAAGAAAACAGAGAATTCCCATCACAACATCCCAGAGCACAAGGTGACTTATGAAATATCATGTTTTGACCATCCAACAGTCCAAGATATTTATTTTTCAATAACAAAAAATAGAGAAAAGCAGCAAATCCAAACATTGAAGTAGCTTCACCCAGAGAATGTAATTTTTGTTCAATCCATAAATTATCAGAATATTGGCAGGTCCACATCAATACATTTCTCAATTTATAAATAAGCTTTATCATAATTTAATTTTAAAGCAAATGCTCTGATCATGTCTTTCAGGCCTGCAGAACGATCACAAGGAAATCATGGTGGAGATCGAAGAAGCCCTCCACAAGCTGCATGCTCGGGAGAAAGCCAAGCGGGAACGGGATGAGGCAGAAGCCCAGGAAGAGCCGATGGATCAGCAGGTCACTCTTCCTCCTCCCTTTGCACGGGTGGATGCTGTGACACAAGGATCACCCGCCTGTGTAGCTGTGAGTGATGTGAACTATAGATGAACCGTCACAATTCTTTTAAGTTACTTTAAAAAGTATTTGTTTTTGTTACTGTGATAATACTAAGTGGTCATTTCATCCCAAAGGGGCTCAGAGTCGGTGATGAAATCGTTGAGTTTGGTTCTGTCAACACGGAAAACTTTCAGAACCTCCAGAATATTGCTTCTGTGGTACAACACAGTGAAGGGGTAAGCCACTGGCACAGCTGTATTTATGGTTCAGCAATAAAACTCATTTTGTTGATCCTCATTTGGCACTTTTAATTGTTTTGTGGTGCAGTTTGATGTCTAAATTTAGACCGAAAAGAATACTAAACAAGATTTCTCCCAGAATGATTTATGAAATCCCTGAGACTGTGGCTAAAAAATTTGGTTTGACTTCCTTTCAATTGAACTTTATTTTAGACCTTTCAGATCTTTTGTTCAAATTACAAGAAAGTCTTCTTGTAATCACATTATATGCTTATTCTTCTTACCATAGGGTATATTTTACTGAACATACTTGATATCTAGAGTGTAAAGTGCAAAGTCATGTCCTTTTACAGAAACCATTACGTGTCACAGTCATCCGGGATGGCCAGAAAACTCACATGAGCCTGACGCCAAAGAGATGGTCAGGCAGAGGTCTGCTGGGGTGAGTGCTACACGGACGCAATCAGTCACATATTTGGATTGGCACAGATTTACCATTTGGGAGTGAAGAAGAGTAGCTGATATGTAGAAGCACAGAAAGCTGTCAAGCCCACAGGAACAAAGCTGCTGAAAAGCTTCTTGTGAGCCGAGCAAATGTTTCTTAGTGTGGGTTTTACTTTGACTGCCATTTGGCATACTCTTTTGTTCGATTCATGATTTAAATAGGTGTCTCCTGGTATTAGCGGCTAACAAGTGGTTCACTAATCAGTAGCCTGTCTTTCTTCTTTTTTTCAGATGCAACATCATTCCAATCCACTGATGATCACTCTGACATTGTGCAGAATTTCAATGGTGAAACCCCTTCTTCCACTTGTTACCCATGGATTGTTTCAAATTGACTTTGTACATATACTGCAGACATTTCCATCGGTTTGTTTTTTCAACATCTTAATTTGAACTGGAAGTATTCCTTCATACAAAGGCAGTCTTCATAATGAGATAAAATGTCAAATTACTTCTATTAGAGATCTTATGCTGAGTTTACAGAGTGAAAGCTCAATAAAAATTACCTTATACTAATGCTGATTATAATCTTACTGTTGGCAATTAAGTTCTTCATGGATGCACTCAACAAATGTCACTGCCATTAACCCATTTCATTAATCTATATCCTGTGTGCAAACGGTAGTTTGTGGTGTAAGAGTACCACTAGAGATTAACAGGGTTAATCAAGGATATCCATGAAGTATAAGAAAATCTGTAGTAGCTGAAATATCTTGCAGGGATCTTAAGTGATGAACAGACACTGAATAACTTTTCTATCGTCAATAAAGGCTTATTTGCAACTCGTAGGAACAAGATGACTCATCAAAAGCTGTGTGACAAACTTTTCTAAGAACATAATGTGTGCTTTACTTATATAAAAAAAATTACATCACAAAAATGCAGAAAGTATTATTTTGAGAGCAGTTAAGTAAAGTATCAGCCTCCATTGTACATGACAGTCACTGTTAGTCAACATGTTCATATGGCCCTACTGCCTCAAAGGCATTTCTACAAATATATACCAAACAAGATGGCATATATATATACAAAAAAAAAGTAAACTATATTCACAAAATTAGTATAATCCCAGCAAAAATCATGTAGATGGCTTGAGTTTCTTCTTCTTGGGCTTGACCATCTGTGGTAGTTGGATTTTGAAGGCCGTCCTGAAGAGAAAAATGTTTGAGATCATAATGCCAACAAAGTGAATATGAAATCACATTGCATAATTTAAGATGTATACCAGATGATATAGGGTTTGTATTAAAGAGTCCTGCTTCAAGCTATACTCACTCGCAAGTTGTACAGATGGGACTGAAGTTGCAGAATACTTAAAGAGAAGACGAGAAGCGTCACCATAAAAACAAACAGTAACTGCAGCTTTTACCAGTATAAATATTGTTGTCATACATTTGTTTCTTTTAACTGGGAATCAAACTTACTTGACAGACAAACGGAGCACACATAACCAATCTCAATGAGGTTACGATGGCAGAAGCATGCAGCTCTGTAGTCCACATGTGCAGGTGGCGGCAGAACCAGCTGTGAACGCTGCTCAGAGTCTGGCAGGAACACCCACTGTTCAGAGAACACCATAATTAACACAAAGCAGCCTTTCCACAGATAGATTAGATCATTGATACCGAATTTGGGGAAATCTGTACCGCATTCTCACCAAAAGGTATTGTGCCAGGGCAACTTTCTGTGGTATCTTGAGGTACAATCCTCCAGTTATATCGCAAGCCTACAAAACAACCATCTGAAGTTAAATAACCTGGGTATATACACAGGTGAGGAAAGCACAATACAGTCCAAGTATCGCGACACCAAACTCCCGGCATACTACCTGAATACAGACAGTGATGTGAGAGCGATTTACTTGAATAGTTGTACAAGCGATTTAATAATGCATGTTTAGTTTGGTATTCAGCTTTTCGGATGGTATTGGCTTTCATAGCAGGCTGTAGTGCTGTCAAACAAAGTCATAAAAATGTACCTGCTGAAGGAGACCTGAGTCTGCATCCAGTACACAGGCATCTATCAGGATGTTCTGTTTTAAAATACAAAACAAACACATTTAAAAATAAATAAATAAATATACAAGTTACAAGAAGTAGACAGAACAGAAAACTCAAGATCAATACTTTACCTGCTTCTGGGCAGCAAAAATCACATTCATGAAGTTCATGTACTGGAGGGCACAGTCCTCTGCGGCTTTTATCACCTGTCCAGTAAAATACAGAAGCTGTGTTCAAAATCACAGGAATAAAACAAGAGCACTCATGAAATCTGACAATTAAGGGCTTACCAATATTCTTGATTTTATCTCCTGTCCAACTACAAAAAAAAAAGAGGCAACATTTATAAGTATTATAAGTATTGAGAGGAAAAACAGTACCCATTGAAGAGCATTATGAAGTGTAATCATGAAAAAACATTCATTACCTTCCAGCTCTTTTGAGACCCTGTGAATATCTGAATATAAAAAGGATTAAGGAAAACACCTCAGCCAAGCCCCACTCATTGCTGTGCACATCAAGAAAAGGATGAAAAGAAAAATGTCCAAATGATGATAAAACTTTAAACAGTTTTTATTAAAAGGATACAGCAGAGAGCTTTGGCAAGGGATCCAGCCAACAAAGTATCTGTTGAATTTCCCCTCACTTCAGCTGTAATCACAAGATGCATAGTAAAGTTTACAAAATCACCAAAACTGTACAGCGTAATTAAACAGAATTTTTCTTTGCTTTAACAGGTTGAGAAAACCTATCTACTTAAATATATTGAATGCTGTATATTAATTGTAACCGTGCAAAACCAGACTTGTGCTTACTTTTTGACATAACATTTCTAATCTCTTCAGCAATGAGGTTATTGGCGACTGACAGGAGTTCATATTTCCCATCCCCGCTGGAGGATGCCTCGTCCCCACCGCTGTCACCACCTCTCCAGCACTTGCTGGGATACAGGAAGTGACTGGAATAAAGTAGTGGGAGACGTGCATCTAAGCAGTGACAGGAGCAAAACATCACATTCATCTAGACGGCCCTTTAAACGTGGAAACTGACACTGGTGGAAGAAGCACTCAGATCCTTAGTTAAGTAAAAGTACAAATACAACAATCTAAAAATACTCCATTACAAAAAAAGTCCTGCATTTAAAATCATAAATACAGAAGCATTGGCAGTCAAAGTATCCAAAGTTAAAGTGCTGCTTCTGCAGAAAATAGCCTATGTGATTATATATGACTTTAATAATGATGCATTAATGTGTAAATAGTTGTAGTTGGTCGAGGTGGAGCTAGTTTGAACTTAAAATGTTGAAGCTAGGGTAGGCCGAATTCGTACTGAATGAAATAATGCGACAGCCAATGATACCGGATTTTGTTTTGTTAAGCATTCGATTCACTGATTTCTGCTGAGATGTAAAGACAATCTCAACAAATATAACAAAAAATCCTTCTGAAATAAATTACCTTCCCTAGTTTTAAATACTGTTGGGTAGTGTAGAACAGGGGAACCCAACCTAGAGGTTGACTGATGCTGTAGCAAAGATGAAAGGGCAAAGTTCTTTATATTATTTGGCCTCAAGACAATTATTTAAATGAAACAGTTTGAGAAGTTTAAAGCGGAAATCTCTTTTGTCGACCTGCTAACAACTCATGATATCTGAAATGTGACAACAACTAGGCACTTCTTTTTGTAAGGGATAACGAGTCAAAAACAAACCAAAGTAGTGTCATCTATAAACTCTTTGTCTGTTTATATAAAAACATAATCTGAAAAGAAAGTAGTAACTATGGCTGTCAAATAAAGGGTAAAAATATTCCCTCTAAGCTGCAGTGGAATAGAAAAAGGCAACAACATTGAAATACTCTTAAAATCATACTTAAGTACAGCACTTAAGCACAGTAAATGTACTTTAAACTGTACAACTCCTTAAAGTTACCTGTCTTGACAGTGGCTGGCCACAACAGCCAGCTTGTTTGTCCTGGTCATGGCCAGGTGGGAGTTCCCCATCACCATGACTGCATCCAGACACTTGGACAGGGAGAACTGGACGGAGACAAGAGGACAGTGGGTGTTGTTAAGCCTCAGCCACATTTAAAAACTAAGTTACAGTCTGAAAACCATTCATGATTAAGAATCATATCCGACTTAACAGTACTACCTCTGGCTCACGTTGAGCTTGCTGCCCCCACCATATCGGATTTACATCCACGACGATGACCAGCAGATTGGTTTCCTCCTCTAAAGAAAATGTGGAAACAGTTTAGCTAACATAATGCAGCCCTTCTCAGCGGTGTCTAAAACTTTAAGTGCACATGCAATCTGTAACATATAAGTCCCTTTTATTTTCTGTATCAGTCAGGTTGTTAAAGCAACACATACCTGATGCCATAACGGCAAGATATTAAAACGTAAAGACACCAAAAAGTAGCTGTTGTTGTCCCGGAGCTTTATCTTCTGTTAGCGTCCATCTTTGATCTGAAACTTTACACAGTATCCACTCAATTTAGAGCGTTTTCAAAGTACAGTTATAGGTTGTGACATTTATGAAAATAAAGCCAGTTCGCTGCTTTCGTTTCCCGCATCAGCCACACTCAAGTCTTCTTTGTGCGTCACCAGGCTGCGACCTGCTCGTCTTCTTCTACGGATCATAGCGGACTACATAACACACGGTGCTCTTCTGCCACCTAGTGTCTCTTGTGCTGTGTTCACAACAGCGCCATGCATAGTAGGACACCCACACACATCATGAGCTGAACAGAAAGCCTGTTTCTCTCAAGTATTGTTTACAAATCTGTGTTAGAGATCACCCATCTGCTCCGTAACCTTCCTCGAACTTGTCTTCTGGACTTTTCCTCCCGCGATTCAGTTCACAGCAACAGCTGCGCCGCATGTTAGCCTTTCAAAACAAAACCACCATGGTAGCTAACGAATTACATCTGCACTATTGTGTTCACTGTCGCTTTACCTGATCAGTGCTTCTAAAATATCCAGTGTCGCCACTTGTAACGTAATGACTCTGTGTTTCTCTTAAAAATGCTATGTGTCGCCAAATATACCTGGCGCCCAGCCGAAGTATATAGTGTATGACTGACTGACTGAACCATTGTTTTTACAAGCCAGGTCTTCAGCAGTCTCTCCCTCCATGTTGTTAAGAGTCTTCGTGAGGAGACGGCTGCGTGCAGACGCACAGGGAGGGAGAGAGGGGAGCAAACGCTGCCAGGACTTTAGGAAACATTAATTAACTCAACATCAAACTATATCTGTATACACCATATTGTCTAATTTTATCTCTCTTTTGAAATGATATCGGTATGTACTTTATAACGATATACCGCCCAGCCCTACACCCACCTCACAGGTGTGGCATATCAAGATGCTGATCAGAGTGGCCACACTTTGACTGACAGGTGGCTGTTGCGGCTGTCACTGCTAGCACTCTGTCCGCTGTCTGTTAGCCGCTACAACAGTCACAGAGCTCCACATCTGTACTGTTTCAGCCTTTTGGACATTTCTTCATGCAAAAACGGGCCGAATAATGGCAGGCTGTGTGGTTAATGGTAGATAGAGGCCATTCAGGAAGCCCGTGTTCCAGTTGGTGAGTGAAATTCTGGTATTTTCTTTATGTGTTAACATTAATTAGCAGGTATTGGTGTCTACATGCATAGCTTGTTAGCTTCGCTTGCTGCACCTGTGGTGACGACAGGTAGATGGGCTGTAACTAGGGGGATGTTCCTGAGTTTGGTAAAGTTATATTAGTCAAGGTGATAAATTAGGTGTGTGAGAGCTGCTTCTGAGTTTGTTTGGGGGATTAGAATCTGTGATGTAAAGTAGTACAGTTCAATAAGAAAGGTGTCTAGCAGTATACATAATTTCATAGGGGTGGGGGGGAAATCAATACAACATATCGTGATATTTTCCATGGCAATACAGTATCAATACACTGACGCAAAGTATCAATCTTATTATATAAACTGCACATGAGTTTAACTTTTTGGTACTAGAATAATAAAATCTATTGCTTTTTCAGTCCACTAGAAAACTCCACAGGACCATACACTCAAAGGATTATTAGGAACACCATACTAATACTGTGTTTGACTCCCTTTCGCCTTCAGAACTGCCTTAATTCTACGTGGCATTGATTCAACAAGGTGCTGAAAGCATTCTTTAGAAATGTTGGCCCATATTGATAGGATAGCATCTTGCAGTTGATGGAGATTTGTGGGATGCACATCCAGGGCACGAAGCTCCCGTTCCACCACATCCCAAAGATGCTCTATTGGGTTGAGATCTGGTGACTGTGGGGGCCATTTTAGTACAGTGAACTCATTGTCATGTTCAAGAAACCAATTTGAAATGATTCGAGCTTTGTGACATGGTGCATTATCCTGCTGGAAGTAGCCATCAGAGGATGGGTACATGGTGGCCATAAAGGGATGGACATGGTCAGAAACAATGCTCAGGTAGGCCGTGGCATTTAAACGATGCCCGATTGGCACTAAGGGGCCTAAAGTGTGCCAAGAAAACATCCCCCACACCATTACACCACCACCAGCAGCCTGCACAGTGGTAACAAGGCACGATGGATCCATGTTCTCATTCTGTTTACGCCAAATTCTGACTCTACCATCTGAATGTCTCAACAGAAATCGAGACTCATCAGACCAGGCAACATTTTTCCAGTCTTCAACTGTCCAATTTTGGTGAGCTCTTGCAAATTGTAGCCTCTTTTTCCTATTTGTAGTGGAGATGAGTGGTACCCAGTGAGGTCTTCTGCTATTGTAGCCCATCCGCCTCAAGGTCGTGCGTGTTGTGGCTTCACAAATGCTTTGCTGCAAACCTCGGTTGTAACGAGTGGTTATTTCAGTCAAAGTTGCTCTTCTATCAGCTTGAATCAGTCGGCCCATTCTCCTCTGACCTCTAGCATCAACAAGACATTTTCGCCCACAGGACTGCCGCATACTGGATGTTTTTCTCTTTTCACACCATTCTTTGTAAACCCTAGAAATGGTTGTGCGTGAAAATCCCAGTAACTGAGCAGATTGTGAAATACTCAGACCGGCCCGTCTGGCACCAACAACCATGCCACGCTCAAAATTGCTTAAATCACCTTTTTTTCCCATTCTGACATTCAGTTTGGAGTTCAGGAGATTGTCTTGACCAGGACCACACCCCTAAATGCATTGAAGCAACTGCCATGTGATTGGTTGATTAGATAATTGCATTAATGAGAAATTGAACAGGTGTTCCTAATAATCCTTTAGGTGAGTGTATAGTGGACTGAAAAAGTGATGAACAAACAGAGAAATTGATCTTTTTTGATAAACAGATGCTGACCAAGTTTTTCTTTGCGGATATAATTCGAAGTTGGAAAAAAAGTACATAAATTGCAATATATGTCAATATATTTAAAATCGAATCGCGACATAAGTATCTTGATAATATCATATCATGGGGCCTCTGGTGATTTCCACCCCTATTATTGCACATTGCCTTTCAGCATAGATTATTACTGCACAGTGTCCAGCAGCAAGATTAATATTGCACACATGAATAAACAGTAAGGATGCACCAGATGTTCTGCCATCAAAATTAATTAGCTGAAAATAGCAAAAAAAGCACTTTCGGTGTTCGGCCTAATAAGTCAAAAGATCGAATAAATATTACCTTACAATTACGTGATAATCATCAGTGTGGAAGCATTTTAAAGTGTGTGTACTGTAAGTATCTCATCTTGTCTTTCATTTGCCAGTGCTGCTGATTGCTGATGCTTTCATGAATAAACCAAAAGGGCTACTTGGTGGACACCTAAATACACTGCTCAAAAAAATAAAGGGAACACAACACAATGTAACTCCAAGTCAATCACACTCCTGTGAAATCAAACTGTCCACTTAGGAAGCAACACTGATTGACAATCAATTTCACATGCTGTTGTGCAAATGGAAAAGACAACAGGTGGAAATTATAGACAATTAGCAAGACACCCCCAATAAAGGAGTGGTTCTGCAGGTGGTGACCACAGACCACTTCTCAGTTCCTATGCTTCCTGAGATCCTCAGACCCCTTGTGAGACCGTATGCTGGTGCGGTTGGCCCTGGGTTCCTCCTAATGCAAGACAATGCTAGACCTCATGTGGCTGGAGTGTGTCAGCAGTTCCTGCAAGAGGAAGGAATTGATGCTATGGACTGGCCCGCCTGTTCCCCAGACCTGAATCCAATTGAGCACATCTGGGACATCATGTCTCGCTCCATCCACCAACGCCACGTTGCACCACAGACTGTCCAGGAGTTGGCGGATGCTTTAGTCCAGGTCTGGGAGGAGATCCCTCAGGGGACCATCCACCACTTCATCAGGAGCACGCCCAGGCGTTGTAGGGAGGTCATCCAGGCACGTGGAGGCCACACACACTACTGAGCCTCATTTTGACCTCGTTTTAAGGACATTACATCAAAGTTGGATCGGCCTGTAGTGGTTTTCCACTTTGATTTTGAGTGTGACTCCAAATCCAGACCTCCATGGGTTGATAAATTTGATTTCCATTGATAATTTTTGTGTGATTTTGTTGTCAGCACATTCAACTATGTAAAGAAAGGAGTATTTAATGAGATTAGTTCATTCATTCAGATCTAGGATGTTATTTTAGTGTTCCCTTTATTTTTTTGAGCAGTGTATTAGAAGCATGATCCCTAAGCGTGAACAATTTGAGCATTTACTAATTCAATCAAATATTTTCTTTCTAGGATTGACAGAAACGTGGTTAACATCTTCATCACCTGAGGCAGAAATAATACCTGGTTACAATGTTTTTAGAAAGGATAGGGGTCAGGGAAAGGGCGTTTTTTTTTTATTATATGTTAAAGACACCCTAAAATGTAATAAAATTGAATGGCCTGACGATACAAATCTTGAGTGGGTGGGAGTAGACATTATACTTTCTGCAGAAATTACATTCAGTCAAAAACCATCAGCTAAAATAGATTTTTATAGCAACCTTAAAACGCTTATCAATCTCACTAACTTGAAAAAAAGAGTTCTTGATAAGTGATTTCAATATTAACTGGGACAATGAGAGACAGGAAAAACCCCAAACAGATAACTGATCATTTTAATTTGGATCAATTAATTGAAGCGTCAAACAGAGTAACTAACCGCTCCAAAACACGAATAGATTTAATGCCTGAAAGAATTATTAAAACCTACAACCTCTTAACCTGCGATGGACTTGCGACCTGTCCAGGGTGTACCCCGCCTTTCGCCCAATGTAAGCTGGGATTTGCTCCAGTCCCCCACGACCCTGTACACAGGATAAGCGGTTGACGAGGGATGGATGGATGGATGGATGGATGGATGGATGGATGGATGGATACAACCTCTTAACTGGTTGTCTGATCATAATGGCTTCTTCTTTTAACAAAAACTAACCAAAACAAGATTTCATAATTCCATGTCAAACTCATCTAACTATTTAGACTTATACTTTGTATCATGATATAATCCCCAAAACACAACATCTAAATCTGGAAACAGCCCTTAAAGAGCTGGATTGGGCTGCATTTGTTTCATGTTAAGATGTTACAAACAACAGTGTCACATTCTACAATACAGTTAAAAAGGTGGCATTTATTAAAAAGGTGAGGCATAGGAGAACTAATGACAATGACCTACCATGGCTCCATAATTAGTGCAGGACGTTAATGAAGAGAGAGAAATTACTTAAAAAGTCGCTCAAAACTGGTCTGACCTCAGATAAACAACAACTTACATCGGCAAGAAAACCATTTTCTTTTCATCACTGCTTAACCCTGCAGAAACATAACTTGCTGAGCTTCGAAAATTTTTCAAATTTAAATATGCCATGGATTTGCACCCCCCCCACGAAGTGAGTACATTAAATTGAAACCAACTGGTGGTGGCTGAACTGTAACCAGGGCCTCCACGAGAGGTGATTGTATGGTGCCTTACAGAAGTACAACATTTGGACAATTTGTATTGTCAGTTAAGGGGTGAGGGAATGTCCAACTTACCCCAGTTTTAAGAACCAACTCAAACAATGGCTCAAGACGCATCAAACTTGTGACCAATAACGGACTCAGTATACTCAGTATTGTGTGTGTATGGGTTCGTTGACTGTTGTATTGTTTGTGTAGGTGTGTGTTTACCGTACTAGATGCAGCACTTTACTGCACTAAATAGCACTTTAACATAATTGTACTTAATTTCATTGAATGGCAAATTACTCCATAAACAGCACTTGAAACTACATAACCCTGTATACAAAACTGTGAGGTCTTTTATAATATGATGTTGAAAACTGAAGGTGTCTCTTAAACTGTGTTGTATCATATCTAATTTAATGTTTAGCTGTGTTACCTTGTACTTTAACTCTAATGACCTGCCGGGGGACTACAGATGTAGAATAGCCTTCGGGCTAATTCTGGCATAAGGTATTTACATTGCTGAAAAGCTAAGATGTCCATTAATATGCACTGTTCCTTTTAAATAAAAACATAAATAAAAAAAAAAGAATGCAAGATAGATTTTTAAATTGTTAAAATATTGCTTGTGTATTACAAATACACTATATCAAATTGATCAGACTAAATATACTAAAAATGAAGGGTTTACATAATAAACAAGACGTTTTTCTATCATCAAATGAAAGATATCGTCATATTGCACACCACCTAGTTAGATTCATAACTACTTTGTGCAGGTCAGTCTTTTGTTTCATCATTTACCCACAGGTTAGTTTGGATGTGCACAAATTTTTATGTGTTTAAACTAGACTTATATCAGAGCAGCAAAGAAGGCAGTCTTCAACAACATCAGGCTCTGGTACAGGGTGTAAGACCCCTAAAGCATCCAAGTATATGGTAGAAAAGTGAAAATACTCCAGCACACACAGAAATACACAGCATAATCACAATTCATGGGAAACATGTTTTAGGAGTATTTTCACTTTTCAACTTATACTAAACTTCTCATTTAACAAAAGTTCATTTTGATGTTGTATGACCAGCAGGTCGGTGGAATTGACAGACACAATGTGATTTTCAGTCAGTAGTAAAGACAAATGAGTTAAAATGGACATAAAACCCATATAGACAATATTTAAAACTAAAAGTAAACAAAAGGGGAGAAGGGCATTCTATGTCAGTCCACCTCATCAGATACAGACGTCCAGCACACTGAGGAGGCTTCACAGGTCTCTGCAGCTCTCTCACGTGATCCACACTGTTGACTATGGGAGGAAAATAAATGTAACAAATGCTGCAGGTAATGAAAAATATAAACTATACCAATGCATATTTAAAAAAAAAAAACAGGATATCTAGGAAAGTTCATTTTCTTCTGTAATTTAGTTATAGATTCATTTCACAAAGTGAAATATTTCAAGCCATTTTTTTGTTTTAATCTTGATGATGAGCTCAAAACTTCTCAAAGTCTCTCACAGTCTCTCAAAATGTATTGAGCCTTTAATCTCAGTCTGGTTCTGCTGCTCCCAATGAACTTTGACGGCTTAGCCCAGCCCTTTGGCTTTAAACACTTAATTTCCTGCATTGTGGTGAATTTTTCTGCACCAATTTATTCAAAGGAAATATCTTCATTTATATAAAAGGAAACACAAAATTCAGGTTACAGGTGACAATTCAAAATATAAAAAATAATGGTGTAATATAATGCAGTAAGGCATTCTGTATTGCTGTCAGATATGTTTCTCCTGTATCTCAACTTTTCTCATTTAATTGTTAATGTTTAAAGCCCTGCTGAGTCTACATACATGCAGGCATGACTGAAGTAGCCTAAAGTCTTCAAATGTGCATGTAGCACCTTTTCACCTCAATGATAAATTAATTAATTTTAAATTCAGTTAGAAACTCCTGGACTTCTGTGTTTTAGCAGGTTTCCTGCTCATGTTCAAAACTTTCTGCACATTAATCTCTCCCATATGTGTTCTCTGACATTTGCAGTATAACATTTTGAGACAAGACTTGTAATATTACAAGAATAAAATAGCAATCTAATGAGAATGAAGTCATAATATTTTAATCTACCTGCGAGGGGGACAGAGTGAGCTACAGGTGTCTGTGTCGCGGTCAGGTGTCTCATGTTATTCTCTCGCTACTTTTGCGGCGGACTGTTAACCATTTGCGTAACAAATACTAGACACTGACCGACAACTTTTAGGCTATATCTTATTTTTTTCATTAAAATTTTGCCGGGGACCATTCAGTAGTCAGTGATAAGCCCTGAAGCTGTGAGATCTCTCTCTCTCAGGAGGCAGTCACGTTACCTAAACTTCAAACATAATGTAGCAGTATTATTGCGAGTAGCCGCCGTTATTCCAAGACCTGCGAGACAGGCTGCATCACGAGGATTACAGCATATACTGAAAATATTTTTGATGTTGTTGAGTTACATTCGGGGCTTCATTCAAAACGTTTGGGGCTAAAACGCCGGAAACATGACCTGGCGACGCCGATGGTATAGTTTCAGGTTAACTTACCTCCTGTATGCTTGTAACGATGCGGCCACAGGCTACCAACCTCCAGCCAGACAAGCCCCGGGTAAAAGCTACTTCTGCTAATACAGTAGCTAGTAGCATATAGCATTAGCTCCTTAGCCTGAGCTAACTCACGTCGAGCGAGGCGGGCGTGGTTTTAGCAACCTGTCTCCTCAGCTCCACCCACGAGCCGCCTCTTTATCCATTTATGGTTATCAAGTGTACCAAGATAGAGGCTGGCAGCTCAGCCAACTTTGAGCTTCAAAACGGCTCTTCAGAACGCGATGGATGACGTCACGGACGCTACGTCCATTTTTATTTACAGTCCATCAGGTTCCACCACAGAGCACAATGCCGCAGCTGTCACAAGTTTTGAGGGAGCGTGCAATTGGCATGCTGACTGCAGGCATGTCCACCAGAGCTGTTGCCCGTGAATTGAATGTTCATTTCTCTACCATAAGCCGTCTCCAAAGGCGTTTCAGAGAATTTGGCAGTACATCCAACCGGCCTCACAACCGCAGACCACGTGTAACCACACCAGACCAGGACCTCCACATCCAGCATCTTCACCTCCAAGATCGTCTGAGACCAGCCACCCGGACAGCTGTTGCAACAATCGGTTTAAATAACCAAAGAATTTCTGCACAAACTGTCAGGAACCGTCTCAGGGAAGCTAATCTGCATGTTCGTCGTCCTCAACGGCTGACTGCAGTTCGTCGTCGTAACCGACTTGAGTGGGCAAATGCTCACATTCGATGGCGTCTGGCACTTTGGAGAGGTGTTCTCTTCACAGATGAATCCCGGTTTTCACTGTACAGGGCAGATGGCAGACAGCAAGTATGGCGTCATGTGGGTGAGCAGTTTACTGATGTCAACGTTGTGGACAGAGAGCCCCACGGTGGCGGTGGGGTTATGGTATGGGCAGGCGTGTGTTATGGACAACGAACACAGGTGCATTTTATTGATGGCATTTTGAATGCACAGAGATACCGTGACGAGATCCTGAGGGCCATTGTTGTGCCATTCATCCACAACCATCACCTCATGTTGCAGCATGAAAATGCACGGCCCCATGTTGCAAGGATCTGTACACAATTCCTGGAAGCTGAAAACATCCCAGTTCTTGCATGGCCAGCATACTCACCGGACATGTCACCCATTGAGCATGTTTGGGATGATTTGGATCGGCGTATACGACAGCGTGTTCCAGGTCCTGCCAATATCCAGCAACTTCGCACAGCCATTGAAGAGGAGTGGACCAACATTCCACAGGCCACAATCAACAACCTGATCAACTCTATGCGAAGGAGATGTGTTGCACTGCGTGAGGCAAATGGCGGTCACACCAGATACTGACTGGTTTCCGGGCTCCCCCCAGACACCTCCAATACAGTGAAACTGCACATTTTTGAGTGGCCTTTTATTGTGGCCAGCCTAAGGCACACCTGTGCAATACACATGCTGTCTGATCAGCACCTTGATATGCCACACCTGTGAGGTGGATGGATTATCTCGGCAAAGGAGACGTGCTCACTAACACAGATTTTGACAGATTTGTGAACATTATTTGAGAGGAATAGGCCAAAAGTTATTAACAGATTATCAAAGTAGTTGGATTAATAGTTTAGATCGTCTGTCAATTAACTAATCATTTTAGCACTATACTATATCTCAGCAATTAAGTACTTACGCCAATGAGACCATCAGTTGTGTCATTTCACTGCATGACACAAAACATGGGGGGGAATTGAGTTGCAGTTCATGTGTCAACAATCCTCTTGAATATGCTTATTTACAGAAAGGTGCAATAAAATCAGATTATCGGCTCATATAATAGAGCAGGAGAATCTGAAGTATCTATATTGTTTGGTTCTTGACATGTGTTGAGTTGTGTTCAGAAGATTTTGGATGTGTGTGTATGTGTGTGTATATATATATATATTAAACTGACACAACAGCATCATAATATTCCTCATATCATTTTCCATGACAAAGGGACATAATAATAATTTATACCAAAATAAACAGTATATTTGTGCACCACTGAATAATTACAAACCCCAATATACGTTCAGTATCAAAACTCCAAAACAATGTTAGAAAAAGAATAATGTCATAAATGTCAGACATTTCTACATCATAACTACTGATTTGATGAACGTCTGCAGCAATGCCCTGTTCTCTGATCTTGCTATAGGAAACTGTGTCCATCAGTAGTGAACAGTGTATGAAAAGAGTAAAACTGGTTGGCCAATTGAAGCAGATAAATACACTGAAATGACAAACATCCTGCAACTGCTGTTTAAATGTCCTATATTCATCTTTCATGCCAATCATTCATTCATTCTTTGTCCTAGATTAACTAAAATTACAATTATTATTATGACAAACACACTCTGACAGGTTTTGATATGCTTCCCAGTGAAAGATAACAAAACACCCCCAATTGTCCTTGAAAGTATTTTTGGTTGAATAATCAAGCAACTCAAGCAAAGAAATCCTTGCGTGTCCACTGTCTTAATGGAGGCTATTTCTTGGCCTTGAGAAAGTCAGTTCTATATCTCTCAGTTTGGTAGACATCTGACTCGATGGCCTTGCTGGAGTCGTTCAGTGTCACATATACATCCCCGTTGACCTCAGTGACCTTGTGAATCCTCTGTTTGACACCCTTGGAGCGCCAGTGTGCTCTCAGGGGTTTGACTGTAGGATCGCCCACAGCTTGGTAAAGCCCTTCCCCCTCTGCCAGAGTGATCTTGTACTTGTGCCACGGACACACGATACACAGCAGCCCATTAAACTCCTGATGTTAGCACAGCACGGCGGTGATTAGAGAAACAGGACGGTAGCATCTGCAGTGGCAGCTTTGCAACAAACTGACAAAACTCACTACACAACTTACCTCAATGTCTCCATGCTCTAGTGCACCACCTGAATCTGTCAGAGGAGAAACAAGTGTCATTACAGACAGGAGTGTTTTAAACATTAGTCAAATATTAGGATGATGTCAACATCTTATTAAATGTTTTAACAGGTCAGGCTTTATTAATATCTTTATGCATCATGTCAACACACACACACACACACACACACACACACACACACACACACACACACACACACACACACACACACACACACACACACACACACACACAGAGCTTACGGTAGCAGCGCATGTCCATTGCATGAAGCTGCCCCTGGTGGTAAAGGACCAGTACATCTCTGCATCCATTCACCAACTTCGTCACGCGCCCAGCCTTGACGATGTCCTCTTTCTTCCCAATGAAGTGGGAGGTAGGGGGAGGTGAGGAAGAGGAGCAGGAGGAGGGTGGGGAAGAAGAGGAAGTCTGAGAAGTCTCCTCCTCAGATGACATGTTAATCACTTTTTACAGAAGGTTTCCTGGTTTGAATAAGAATATAGTTTAAAATTAATTTCAGTTTTTAGGATGAGAGGTTTTGTGTTCGTCCACACAAGTCCCACTCCTCCAATGTCACCACGTGACATTTAAAAGTACAAAAATCCACATTGATTTATCCACAGATTAATGAATAGAATGAACTGATTCTAGTGCATGCATTGAAGATGTTGCTGTTTGTTTCACCCCTAACTGATGATCATTTTATATTTCTGTCACTGTCAGTCGGTTATGCACTTGATGAGCAGAATATGCTTGGTATTGCTGTGAGGTATTCCAAACATCAGCCTCTTTCATTTCCTCCACCTTTAAATGGGGGATCTGATGACAAACTGCATGAATATTACAAAATTCATGACCTATGTATTTTATCTATCAATTTTAATGTACCTAATGTACTGTTTTCATTGTAAAGTGTCTTTGAGTGTCCTGAAAAGCACTATCGAAAAAAAAAATGTATTACTATTTATTATTATAAAATTAAGAAAGAGAGGAGGAAACACCAAAGCTTGTTGTATTGAGGTGCATCCAAAGATTTCTGAAGGGTTATAACTTAATCTCTTATCTGATGAACATGTGAGCGAGTGACTTAGAATATAAAAATAGTGAGCGTCATTTAAACGGTGAGGGAGAGGGGAAGAAAGGTAAAGACCATCAGAATCTGTTTCATGTGGCCCACAAGCTACTTGACTCACTCTCAAGACCAATGCAGAATCCTATAGCTCCTATAAGTTTAATAATTCATATTCAAAACAACAAATACCTCTTAGGTCGCCAGTTCACATCTGTGACACTGAATGTCACCTCTAAGGTCTGTGGTTGGCTGTCATGGCATTGATGAGCAATAAATGGAAACAATCACCTGTCTTCATGGCTTCGTGTCCTGGCGGAACATGAGACTTACTCGCATTAAAATTGCATGAATGTCCTCGCGCGTTATTTGTATACAACAGACCCTCGGCTATATTTATTTGGTCATGTATTGAATTGTAAGATGTAAACTTCACCAGAGTTTCGACGAAGCCGTGAGTCTAATCGGTTTGTGGAAGAGCCAATGTTGGGTGTTACGTCTAATGCTGTCCCCACTGAAACACGGACTGATGGACAATATTATATTACAAAGCCTCCTTCTCTTCTGTGGTTTAGGATTGTTTCCATTTATTGTTTAACATTGTTGTCCAAAATGCAAACAGAGGCTGTGCCAAATATTCACAGAGTATGCATGTATGTAATCGCTGTTGAGGTTTAATATGCATTGCAAATGACACAGCCTATGAGGTAAATACCATGCAACCATGCAATACATAAAAGTGTAATTATGAAACATCTATCTATCTATCTATCTATCTTTTATTTTTCCTGAGTCGTTGCTTATAACATGAGGGTATAAAACAAATTACTAGTTTACAATTATATTTCATAACATTGTACTATTCCAGAGCATATACTATATCCATGCTCTGCACAACATATATCCTATATCCTACACAGCTATAGACTGTGTGAAATGACGCAAGTAACTGATAATCCCTGTGTTTTATCATTAATAAACCCAGAAAACAAACCATAATAATAATAATAATAATAATAATCTTCATCAGTAGTCTATTTCTCAGCTCTACATACACAAGGTTACATTTTAAAGCCAGTGGAACAAACGTCTTAATAGTTTAGTCTGAGAAGGCTTTTTGTCTTTGTTAGTGGGCAGTAAGCCCTCTGAGGGATTATCTCCCCCTTTCATGCTGAACTGAGCGTAAATTGACCGGCTGTTTTTTCTGAAACTCAGCATTGACGTTTGATAAAAGGTCTTATAATTTCCGCCACCTGTTGAATCTGCCAATCAATACCTGCCTGAACCTGAACAGGAGTTGTGCTCAGCCACAGTGCGAAAAGAAAGCGCCCTGCCCAAACCGTTTTCGTCGTTGTGGAGACCAGCACTGTGTACGGAAATAGTGATACTACCCAAGCTAGCAACTTTGTGAAAAATTAATGCATTCTGTCAGTTTAGTTTGCTCGTTCAGATAAACCGTCGTGTTCATTTATTTGTCTTCTGCTTCCAAAACGTCTGGAGTGAATCCGGTAAGTTTTCTGTTTATAATTATCATTTGAGAAACTTAACCATCTTACAGTTAGTTTTGTCATATAAACAATTTGCTAAGCACACGCACGCAATTCTTTCAGATAATGTGTTTATGTTTATTTTGACAGTCGTTATAAAATGAGTTAGGGGTGTCGACCATCCCTGCAACGGTCAGGTGTCCTCAACCCACTAAATATAATTTAAACTGCACTGCAGGTAGTCCTCCTGTAATTCAATTAGCAGTTGCTGAAATCCCAACACATGTTCACTGTAGGGACTATGGCTGAGCCTGATGGTCCTAAAGGAGTGGGATTATTTGAAGCTGTGTACTGTTTCATAAACACAGTAATGAACAGCACTCTCAGGTTATGCATGCATGAAGAGGGTCTAATTCAAGTGCCATATGACAGGACTGTTGCAGCTGCCAGCCAATCTACTGTAGAAGTCAAAGAAGCAACAGTTGCATGCCTGTGTCTGCTATATTTATCATATTTGCTACGTTACAGAAATGTGTGACATGTCTGCACTGTGCTGCCTTGGCCCTATCCTCAGCAAGCATCACATTTCTGCATCATACCAGTGTCCTGTGCTTTGCTTACCACCACAACAGGGCAGTGTGGTAGTAGTGACATTCTGACCGACCAGACCGTTTTCCATCGGTCTCTGACAGAAATCACTAAGGGAGAGAAAACAGCAAGGACACACTGTCTTGGAAAAAGCAGTCTGTCGTCATAGATTTACTGTACTGTTGTACAGAAATTGCTTGCTTTGCATGACCGGCTGATGGAGAAACTGAAGCGACATGTCTACCACTCCCAGGTTAGGTGGAGAGAACAGGAGGGGGAGGAAATGGCACTTTGCCTGTATGATTGTCTGAGGGCAATTGGCCTAGAGCGTCACTATGCCAGGTAAGGTCACGCACTCACAGATCTGAACTCACACTTGACCTGTCCTCTCGTCCACTGAGCATGTGTCTCCCTCTGACGCCTGTCCTTCAGGTTCACCTCAGTGGGTGTTCATCGTGCAACCCACCTTTCAGCGCTGACCATGGAGGACTATCCCATACTAGGAATACACTCTATGGAGGACAGAACTCGGCTCTTCCATCTAATCCAAATGGTCAAAACTCTTGACCTGGAATATGAAGATATTGATAGTGATGATTATGATGATGTTGATGGTGGTGATAAAGGCGACACTGTAGCAGATAGCAGCTTTACGTATAATGGTTGTGGAGATCCTTATGAAGAAGTATATGATGACGAGAATGAGAAGGGTGCTGCTGTGAGTAAGCTAGATGCGGCCAGTTTTTCCAAACCATCATGCGTTTGCAGACGGCTTGATTTCAGTGAAACTGTCAATCATCATCAGAAGCTCTTCGCTCGCCCGGTAGGCACGGTTCATGTCTATGCAAGTCGTAACATAAATAATGAGCCAGGCCGGAGCAAAGGATTGGCCATACCTGTGCAGCTTGAGCTTGACACCGGAAGTGCTGTGGTATATGGTTGCACAGGGAACAGCAACCTCAGGTCAGATATCCATTGTCATCAATCTGATCATCACACAGGAGAAAACACCAAGCCAGACATCATGGAAGGAATTTCCAAATACAAGTCTCAGTCCGGATTATCACCAAAGTGTGTCTCATTCTACAAACCAAAACCCAGGCCTGCAAAAGTGGCATCAAAGAGGTTTAGCAACAAACCAGTTAGGCACAAAGATCGAAAAAGAATCTCTAGGAAGGAAAATCTCAGTACAGAAATAGGCAGTAACAGGCCTTCTGAACACATGGCTAAGCAAACACCTGTTTATGAATCAAAGAGAACAGCTGGCTACAACTACGGACTACCACTGAATTCCCCTCCAGCCCCAAAGAAAAAGTGAGTGCCAGTGGTTTGTTTTGTGCTCACTACTATCTCCTTACTTGCAAATGAATATGTTAGTGAAAACAGCCACAGTCTGTTAAATGCTTTTATTGAACATGAAAGACATTCAGAAATTAACAATAAGTATTCAAAAAATTTGTTTTTGTGATTGTGTCCCTTAAATAATGAGATTTGCATAACATTTGTGTATGAAAATTATTCCCTGTGTTGAAACATGATTATCCTGATTGTGTGTGTGTGTTTCACAGGCAAACAGAGGGGCAGCGGATCAGTGTGTGTGTGAGGAAAAGACCTTTGACACGCACAGAGAGCAGGAGAGGAGAGGCAGATGTTGTGACAACTCTGAGTGGAGAGTGTGTGATTGTCAACGAAAGCAAAGAGGCTGTGGATCTCTCACAGTACATACTACAGGTAGATATGATGTGACCGAGTGGAGACAATGACTAAACAATGTTACAAAAAACATATAGTAGTGTCTCCAAATAAACACATACTATCATACTGTGATGATGTTAAAGTTATTTGTGATGAACTACGGGTCACCTTGTCTGATCAGTAGTGCTTGTTTTGTTTATTTTATGCCTTTCCCCTTTTCTCTTTTGTCCCTGCAGCACAGGTTCTACTTTGACCAGGTTTTTGGGGAGGAGAACTCCAATGAGGAGGTGTATCGAAGAACAGCATATCCTCTGGTGCAGCACATGCTCAATGGGTAGGCTAGCATAGATGTTGTGGTACTTATGGAGATGTGTTGCAACCCTAAAATCCTTTCCATCAGAGTCCAAATGAATAAGTTTTGGGGTTTGAAGTACATGCTTGTAGGCGTTTTGGCTCCGTGTTTCAACGAATCTGTGTGCCCTAACTATCTATATTTGTGTTGTGTGTGCATCCATAGAGGCAAGGCCACCTGCTTTGCATATGGCCAGACAGGTGCAGGGAAGACTCACACCATGTTGGGTTCATCTCCTGGGGGTCCGGGGTTGTATGCACTGGCAGTCCGGGACATTTTTTCTCACCTCTCCACCACACACATACACTCACCCTTGCAGGTGTATGTCAGTTTCTTTGAAATCTACTGTGGTCATCTGTATGACCTGTTGGACCACAGGAAAAGGTGTGTGTTTGTGTCAGTGTGTGTGTGTGTACGTTTTTTGTTGTGCTTAAGAACTTGGATGCATTTCGAAGGACAAGATACTGAGCCCCAACTTCCTCCACATTGCTGCTGGTGTGCGTGAATGATTAGTTTCTTTCTGATAAGCAAGTGGCACCTTGCATAGCAGCCACTTCAGTTAGTGTATGAATGCGTGTGTAAATGGGTAATTGTGACATTTAGTATAAATTATAAGTTACATATTTGTGTTATAGCCACCATTTAGTATACTTAAATGTATACTTCATTTGATAAAATATAAATTTTTGGTAATATCATCATCAAAGTTAACCAGGATGTCCTCTTCTTAATACTTATTTATCTCGATGTCTTCTCCCTCTTAATCTTTGCCTTTCTTTCTTCATTAGGTTATTTGCCAGGGAAGATGGACAGAAGGTGGTTCACATTGCTGGGCTGCGTGATGTCAGAGTGGACTCGGTCTGCTCACTGCTGGAGGTTTGCCCCTTTCTTTAAACCTTGCCTCATGTCCTTGCTATGTTGTTCAGAGCTAGTGTTCATGATAAGCACTTCAGCTTTTATAACACATTAATACAAAGGCTTTGATTCCAAAATAAGATATATCTACCATTTAAAAAAAAAAAAGAGAAAAATAATATATCATGGTGACTGTTAAAATTCTGAGCAATCTTGCTCATCTTAAATTGTGTTTGAACTGATTTCCCAAATGACTTGGTAAACTTTGTTGTCACAAGAAGCACTCAATAATACTTTTAGGTGCTTAAGTATTCAGTGGAGTACAACAGTAAATAGTCCAATATCAACTCTACTAGCACCTTAGGTCAGCTAATTCTGGTCTTAAACCCTCACAGATGCCAGTCCAGAATCTTGAGTATCTTCAATACACAAGAAAAAATCTTTTGATATTTCAATCTCTGTCTCCCTTGTCTCCCTCCTCCTGCCTTCTTCATGGCGCATACAAAGCTGATTTCACAAGGTACAGAAGAGCGCACACAGGGGATAAGTGGAGTGAATCCACTCTCCTCTCGCTCCCATGCCTTGCTTCAGATTCAGCTGAGAGGTGCAAACCAGCAGATAGCTGGTAGGTAAGTTGTAACGTGTGTTTTTATGATATTGTCTTGTCTTTTCTCTATAATGCACTACTGGGGTTATTGTGTAGACTGTACAAAGAAAGATGTCTGTGTGTTTGTGTGTGCCTATAGAATGTGGTTTGTGGACCTGGCAGGAAGTGAGAGGGCATCAGATACCAAAGAACCAGACAGGCAGAGTCGAATGGAGGGAGCAGAAATCAACCAGAGTCTGTTGGCCGTAAGCTACACACACATGCTCACATATTCATACATAAAGACATTTGTGAAGGTATGGTGGGTTTTTATATATATATATAATTATTATTTTTATTTTTTTCTCAGCTTAAAGAATGTATCCGGTCCCTTGATCAAGAGCAGTCACACACACCTTTCAGACAAAGCAAACTTACTCAGGTATTAAGATTTTTGTAACTTGCTGATTTTTGGTGGTTTTGTTTTGTTAGTGAAGTGAACATAAATATCATGGCTAATTTTTTTTTGTCCAGTTTGATGACTAAACTCTTCTATGATTTGGGCTGGATTGTTCTCATTGTAGGTTTTGAAAGACTCATTTGTTGGTGACTCAATGACATGCATGATTGCCAACATTTCACCTGGCCACATAGCAACTGAACACACACTTAATACACTGAGATACGCCGACCGGTAAGTATGTGTGTGTTAGTTGCAAGAAAAAAAAAATTCTTCTCAGAGCTCTAATATATTTAATTCATCCTGCTTTAAATTGTGACTTTGAGAAATTTGGCTGCATAAAATAGCATAGTGATTTTAAATACAAAGTTTTTTCATCTTGCTCTCATTGTTGATAACTTAGTCTTTGATGAAAACAGGTGTTTGGGACAACAAAATGTTACTTATTTTCATTGTGTAGTGTCAGGTGCTGTAGAGGCTATGGTCACTGACTGCTGTTTGAGAAGTTACATCTGCTTGATATGTCGCAGGGTGAAGGAGTTGAGGGGACAGGGAGGACTAAGAGGAGGAAGAAGAGGCAAGATAATACCCTCCCCCAAACGTAACCTGTCCAACAGCAACAGCAGCAGCAGCAGCAATGGCAGCAGTAGTGGCATTCGAGGGAAAAGCCCCCCTAAAAAGCCAAAGTTAGGGAGACAAAGAGAGGCTTTTGGCCCCACCACACCTTCCACAATGTTGGCATCAGGGGGCGCAATTCTCTGCTCCACACCCAAGAACAGCAAATGGGGAGAGGCAACAAGTCCAAGAGCAAGAAGGGGAATTGGACTTGAACAAATTACACCAGTCAGAGGCTTGCTAGAAATGGGTGATAAGAGGGAGGGGAGGGAGAGAGCATTTGGGAGGGAAGGTAGAAGAAGAGAAAGGTTTGAAGGAACTGACAGTGCAGGTCACTTAATTAGAGACCAGATCATCGGTGCAGGGCTGGTCTTGGGAGAAGCAACGGATGAGCACCTTCAGCCATGGGGGTTACAGGGGGAATGTGGATTCTACCACAGAGAAAAAGAGAACCAACAAAGCACTTTGGAAAGGGGTAAAGAGGAAGAAAGAAGGCGGAGAGAACAGAGAAGACAAGTGGAAAGCAGTAGAGACACATGTAGCAAAGTAGAAAGGCTAAGGGAGACAGATTTACAAATGTCTGATGAAAAGGATAAGGAGAAACATCTGAGACAGTATCACCAGCAGCTGCAACAGTTTATGCCCTCATCTGTTTCTTCATCCGTCCATCTCTTCTCACCCTCTACACCGTCTTTCTCTTCATCGAATCAGGCCTCTCTCCCCTCCTCTGCCTCTCCATCTTCATGTTCTTCTCTCCAACACTCTTCCTGCCTCTCAGTTTCTGCCTTTATGCATCATGGTTTGGAAGAGGTTTTAGATGCATACAGAGCCAGGGTTGAGGTTAGGGCTGATGGTAACAGAGGAGGAGATACTTGCTTACAAACTAAAACCTCTCCAAGCTACAATAAAAACAAGGATGAGGTTGGTCATGGTAACTCAGGTGGTACTGGTGAACATTGTAGGGTATCTTGGGAAGGAGCAGAGGCAAGATTTGGACAAGACGGAGGTAAAAGTGAGAAGAAGTCACTGAAGGCAACAGGTGAAGGAGAGGTTAGAGTAAGGAGGGCTGGGATGGAAGGAGGAGGAGAGAGGAGGTGGGCTTGGGTGGCAACGACAGAGAGAGAACAGGCAGAGAGGATGACAGGTGCAGTGCCAGGTGACGCAGAGGCAACAATGTCTCACAACTGTGATTCAGAAGAGAGTAGAGTGGTTGAGGAAAGACTAGATGCCTCAGATCACCCAGCTGATGGAGTGTGGAGTAATGAGGAGCAAGAAGGAGCTGACCACTATGGCTTAGTGTCCACCCACAGCAACAGCATATTTAACCACCCTCCTGTTAAACCACCCCATCCACGAGCGCCTGCAGAACGACCCCTCTCCCCAGGCTGTGAACATACCAACACACTCCTGACCCCTAATAAACTCAATGATCTCTCCCTTATATTAAAACATAGAAGATGCACCTCAAACATCCTGCCTCCACCGCTGCAAAATGCCCAACAGGGAGTGACATCAAGCAGCCCTAGAATGAAGGAACCATGGTTTGCTGCTAATGCCAATAAAAGAGAGTTTTCAAATACTCAATCGACCACACTCCCTCTCACTTCTCCCATCGCACAGAATGGATGTAAAATACCTGCAGAACATCCAGCTGACACTCAGGTACACAACCATCCAGGGGTCAAACCCAAAATGTCTATTTTACCTCAAGAAGAGACTTCTGCAGATTCTCACAGCTACATCATGGACCCCCTCAGCATCTCCTTGCTTCAAGTGGACCAACAGGTTGCCACAGCCTCGTTCCTCCAAGGGGAACTGAACAACACCTCACTCTCTCCACTTGAGAATGAAAGGGGAGAAGATAACAGGAGGGAAGTGCTAAAAGGGCATCTCACATGTGCGGAGAAAGCGGTGAAAGTTGTAGAGGACGAGGACGTAGAATTGCGCCTGTCTCTTTTGGAGCTGCCACAAACCCTCTGCCCTCCCACCTCTGACACCATGAAAGCTATTAATCACTGTCACAATCATTGTGGAATAGGTAAGTGTGAGTTCTGTGTGTATGTGTACTAAATAGTGCTTAAAAACGGGTATGTGATTTTTGTTTTTTTTTGTGTTGTCCAGGCATGATGAAGCCTTCTATCGCTGAGGTTATGCTGGTCTCCCTCCAGGACCAAGATAACAATCATAAACCTCAAACCATGCCAGCTATTGAAGTCCTGGGCAAAAGAGTCCTTGCATCTCAACGTAAACCCTGTACACATGCTTCTATGCAAACTTCTGTCCAGCACTCTGGGAACAGTAGTTCACACAGCTCGCACAATCTAATGACAAATGGTGCCACCCAAATGCCACCAGAAGATACACCCAATGTGCGCAACAAACTCTCTTCTTCCCTTTCAGCGAGACAGTCAGAAAGTGTCTTGGGCAAGGCGAACAAATTGCCAAAGCAGTGTGACACCGTACAAATAGACCATTCCAACAACTCAATCATCTCACTCCAACTAAACTACTCTACAGAATCAAATAATCAAGAGGGCACCAGCAATCAACAAATTAGACCTATAATCCATCTGTCCACGCTGGAAGACCTGAAGCATGGCCAGTAAGTACTAGAAATCTAAACTAGTGATGTTGCCTATATTGTGTTTGAGAGGCCAGCGCACATTTAATGAGACTCAACGGTTAGTATTAGTACAACTACAAACAATGATAATACCCAACTGTATTTGGGTGATATTGAAATCTGGTTACATACATTTAGTCTGAATAAAATATATATTTTTTCTAATCCAATCCAACTTTAGGTGGCGTGTTGTCCAGGCCCATTGGGAGCAGCTAGAAGAGATGGAAGCTTTATGTCGTAAAGAGGGGACTCTTCTCTGCCAACAACCTGATATGGTTATAATAACTCAAAGCTACATTTGTTGGCTCCTTCCCTTTTGTAAACTGTACATTTTAAGTTGATTATACACTTTCTGTACTCACTTACTGTCTCTATCTTAACAGGCATTTGGGGAATATGTCCACAAGCTGCAGGAGATCATGGAGAGAAAGGCGGAGTGTGTCCACAGCATGATAGCCCAGCTGCAGCCATATCTTCAGCCCAATCATTCTAACTAACCACACAACCAAAGAAGATATTGACGATCCAATTATTTGAATAAACTAAGTTAATAATCACTAATATTATTATAAGTGTAGCCGATACACTGAAGAAATGCAAGTCATGCAAAGCCATGCCCTTATTTTTTATTTTGTTATATTTTCACGCTAAATGCAGCATCAGTCAACATTAATATTATTATAATTATTTATTAATATTATCATACTATAAATATATATATATATATATATATATACACACACACACACAGCATATATTAGAATAAGAACAGAAAATTATGTCCATTTGTCTGTTAATGGATTCTGCAGATTGATGTGTGGGGGTGCATGTTTATTGTTTGCGTGCAGTGTTGTTTTTTTCCCTTTTAGATCCTCAGTGCTGTATACATGCTGATTCTGGTGCATATATGAAATTATTCACATTTAGTCCTTTGAATCATAATTTCTTAAGTTAATCTTAAAATGGAGATGTGTTACACTACTGGTATTTAGCAGTTATTTTAATAGCTGCCATTTATGTACTGTAAACTGTATGTTTTAATTTAACCAAATCCATCAGGGCAAAACCTTTGCAAGTCCAGTCTTGATCCAATTTGGGGGTTTCTCCTAGTATCATACTGATCACTGTCCCTCACCTTTGGTCTTGTTTGTTTTTTACTTGAATTTTTTCATGAAAATCATAGCACATGATCAATGTGAGATGTTCCCTTGGTATTGGAATTAATTAGGACTTTTAGTCTGCTTAGGGTTGGTCTTCTGTTTGGCTATTTGTTATGACTCTGGATTGATGACACACTGAACCAAAGCTGCGCACATAATATTTTGCAAACCTACTTCAAACATGGGCTCATTTTGTCTACTGAGGAGTTTACTTTGCAGCTGGAAAACTTTCAGGATATTTTATTTTATTCTCATAAAAGAATGTGATACTTGAGACTATGCAATGAGACTGTTGAATTAAATGTGCATCTGATGCACATGCAAGATGTGTTCTATGTTATTTTGTGTGATACCTGTTTTGGCTTGAGAAAAACCCCTGCAGATTAGAAAACATCTTCCGTAAACACAAAATTGAAAGCGTACCCCATATCTGATCTTACTTTACTGTATTAGATGATCTGTGCTGAGGTTTATTAAATATGGGCAAATCAGCACATAAAGTCAGTGGTGGAATTTAAGTACATTTACCCAAGTACTGTACTAAGTTACTGTACTGTACAAATTCAATTAAGGTACTTGTACTTTACTTGTGTATCTCCATTTTATGCAACTTTATACTGCTATTCTGCTACATCTCAGAAGCAAATTATTCTTTTTACTCCACTACATTTGTCTGACAGCTTTAGATACAAGTTACTTTTTGGATTAAAATACCCTTTACATAGGATCCTTGCTTTTAGATGTTTTATTACAGAAACTTTATGAAACCCATGACCAAAATAGTCATAACCCCCTGTGGGTTATTTATACCAGGCCTACTTGTGAAGATGCTTAAGAGCTTATTCTATTTTTTTAGTAGTGTGATACTGCATATATTGCAGTTAATACTTCAATATTTTTACTTAAGTAACGTTACGGTTTTGAATTCGGTAAACTTATTATTTTAACAGTGTAGTATTGCTACGTTTACTTAAGAAAATGATCCACCGCTGCATAAATTACGGAAGCAATACAGCGAAGCGCGCTCCCGGACAGGAGCGCGCACGTCAGGGCACGGTGCTGAGCCACCTGACCAGTTCGGTGGGTTTTGGTTGGCAGGTTCCGCTTCACAACGGCGCGGTGGGTCACGTGACAGCATCTGCTGCTGCTGGCTGAGCGAAGCGTGTTAGCAGGTAATAGAAGGAATAACGATTTGATTGTGCTAAAATTGTCCATTTAAAAGCCGTTTTAGCAACTACAGTTATCATATGATAATTTAAATTAGTTTAAGGAAAATCGATCGACTGATTCAGAGGAACCGTTCGTCCAGTTTGGCTGTTAGCTAACTCGCTAGCTGTGTCCGTGCTGTAGTGGTGCATTGTACGCGGACGGGCCGTTCACATGCCGGGGCTGTTAGCCCGCTTCACATATTTGTCGTAGCTTAACATTAACAGGCCACGCGTTTTTCGTTTCTCCCCCCTCACACCCGTTTTGTATTCCCAGTACTAAAGTATTGGATGCCGACAGTTATAAACGTTGGTGTAACACGCGGCGTTTTTTTTTCACTTTCAGTTAACGTTGCGTGAACGTTTTCCTGCTGGTAACTTCAGGTAACTGTGCCACGAAGGTTAGCGTCAAGTGATAAACGTTAGCTTTTCTCTTGGCTTACACAAAGGGGTACGTCTTCGCACATGTTTGATATTTGTTCCCGTGTCGGTGGGGCTACACGAACAGTAATTACGTTGGCGGACAGGTTTACTTATCATAGGACTACACTGCTAATATCTTGCCAGTAGAACATGGCGTTTTAACGATGTGTGTGTGAATCACGCACGAAACAAAGATAAGCGGCTAGCCAGGCTAAAGCTTGCTAGTGAGCTAGTTGACCTAGCGCTTATGATAACGTTAGCCAGTCGGGCTGATATTTCCGCTGGGCTTCTTTTAACCATACGATTACATTATGTTAGATACAAGCGACTGAAAACCACTGATTTAACGTTAGTCTACAGTAACTATGTTAAACAGTTAACGTTAACACTGCCTTGTTGTCCAACGTTAACGTTTTCCTGTCAGACAATGGTATGAACACATCCGGTGGATATAATTTGTTTTGTTCGCACACAGAGAAGTTGTCAGTTGGTAGGATTATAAGCTGACAACCAGTTACTTTATGTAATACGATCTAAGTCAGGGAAGTTGTGTACTTTCGATTTCCTTGGATACCTTTTTATCCTACCATAAAACCCATATTTCTTCGAGGTTACTTATTACTTTAAACAAAATGAGAAATGTCTGTTTCTGTCCTGACGTCGATGGGTAAATAGTGTTATTCATATTACACATAACATATGCTGGTGCATACTCAAGTTTTTTTTTTTTGTGTATGAGACTAAGGTTGGGATGTAAGTTGACACCAGGATAGCCCCCACCCTCTGCCTGGCTAAATTTAACCAGGGAGGTGGGGTGCGACAGATGGAGTTAGTCTTACATGGTATACTTGACAACAGTGAGTCTTAGTCTGCTTATATTCAGTATATTGTGCTGGCTTTGGATAATTGTGATGCAATGTAGCAATTTCCCAAGTGGCTGTCATTTCACTTTGCCTCTGTCTCTTCTCCTTCCCCCTGCAGATTTTTCTATTTTGTACATACATTGTTTTGTATATACTGTATATGATGACTTCAGTGGTCAGCAATCAAGCCCGGGGGACTCGGGACAGAACGCTGCCCACCACTACACAAACAACACAGCCACAGAAACAGATACAGGTGGGTTTTCAACATTGTACATACAGAGTTGCATACAGGCCTAAGGATATAGTCTGTTTGTATTTTTAATACAACCAAAAATTGCTTAATTTAGTATTGAATGTAATCATACTGATAATGAAAGTAAAATGTGTAATGAAACTAAAAGTCATTTGACACTCTTAAATGATTGTAAGGTGACTACATCCTTCACCAGGGTTGTAGTCTTTCATTAAAATAAGTAAATAAAACCTAGTGTCCTGTGGTCTATTGTGGTGTTTGAATACAAACGTGAGGTCAAGTGTGGTCCCATTGTTTCTAACTGAACTGTCTTTGTTTACAAGGCCACAGCAGAACAGATTCGTTTAGCCCAAATGATCTATGACAAAAATGATGCTGACTTTGAAGACAAGGTCAAACAGGTAATGTGCATATACACATATTTAGACAAAGTAATTTTCTGGGTAACAAGCAAATCTTGCTGGATACATCAACAATGCGATCCTTATTGCATCTAATGTATCTAATCTGTTTTGCGCACACACAGCTGATTGAAGTAACTGGGAAGACTCAAGATGAGTGCATGGTAGCCCTCCATGACTGCAATGAAGATGTAAACAGAGCCATCAATTTCCTGCTGGAGAGCACCTCTGATGCAGTAAGAGTCTATACACACAATCACAAGCTATATTCATACACACGTCATATGGCAATTTCTTTGGATTTCTGCAGAGGCTGAACCATGCATTGCACCATGTATATATAAAGTCAGTCTCTCTCCCTCTGTCAGAACTCCTGGGAGACTGTGGGAAAGAAGCGGAGCCTTGGGAAAGAAGGACCTCCAGAGATAAAGGAGAGCAGGGAGAAGAAAGGAGAGAGGGAGGCCAGTCGCGGGCGTGGGGGATCCAACAGAAGGGGTAGAGGCATCAGCCGAGGACGTGAAGGTAAGAAAGGGACCGAAGATGTTTGTTTAAATCTCTCGACAGAACATTTTGCGGGATTGAATTTCAGTGTTATTTAACATAACGAGTGCTGTAGTTCATCTGGCTCTGCTCTGTGTGAGCACGGAGGGACACGGAGTCCCTCAGTGGCCCGTCCGGACCCCTAAGCAGTCAACCAGTGATTCATTGATGTCATTCTTTTGTGCTCTAAGATGCTGTTTAAAGTTAATGTTGGATTACTATTTATTACCTAGCCTATTTGGGATTTTTTTTTTTTTTGAGTAATGCACAAAATATATTTTTTAAATGAAGCATTCAATTTTAAGTCCATGCACTAATTGTCCTAAGTCAATGAGTAATCGTTTCAAATTGTGATCTGAGTATTGATCAAAATAATGATATTATGATTTTTGCCGTAATCCAGCAGCCCTATTGTGTAGCTGTATGTTCCTCATCAGCCTGTTTAAAACTGTGTTTTCAGTATTTGCTGTATCTTTGACATTGGCCATTTATTTTTATGCTGCTTTCAGACCAACCGCGAGTTTTCACCTCGCGAGAGTACATTCGCTGCAAGTGTTGACACACAACGCGAGAAGGCAATTTTAATGGGATAACGTGAATAAACACAACTTGCCATTACTACAACTGTATAAACCCAAAGTAAACATTTTGCTGTAATTAAATAGCAAATGGATTAAACTGATGCCGAAATAACTACAACATGATGCAGATTTGTTAAACATATGAATTCATGCTTTGTCAGGTCTGTCAGCAAGACAGCAGGACAACAACTTCTAAAATACGTTTTCTGAATGGAAATTGGATCGATCAGGGCTATGCTAACTTGGTCCCAGTAAAGTACAATGATAGCTGGAATAAAGTTAGACATGTTTTCTGAACTCACCAGGTAGTTCAACCTCCTCGCTTTCTTTTCTCCAAGTAATGTCCGGTTTTTATATAAATATGAAGTCGTAGTCCGACAGAGCTAACGGCACTAACAGTACTGGAACCGGATGTGCACGGAAGCTAGCTGCTGAGAAGCTCCAGTGAAGATAAATCAACGTTGAAATCCCAAAAACTAAAGTAAAAAGCTAATTTAATAAAAGCAGTTAACTCCGAGCTCCTCCCGCGAGTAAACGGCGTAGTTGTCAGAGCAGAATCCGACCAACTACGGGTGTTTATATGTCCAATGGTTGCAGCGCTGCTCCCCGCTCCTCTTCTCCAAGTTTAGCAGCTCTCAGCCGGCCAGCAGATTTTTAATCCTCCGCTCTGCCTGGCCCTCTCCACACAATGCCCTGAAGCCTTGGTGAAGTACGGACAATCTCAACACTGATAGGCTATCGTGATCTGCTGAGAAAATTCAACTCGCGCGACTTCCTTCACGTCGCTGGCCCCGCCCACTTCGCGACGCCCGACAGGAAATCGCGGGTTTACACGTCTTTGCATTGACTTTGTATGTAAACTCACTGCCCCGAACGCTCGCTCGCTTTTGGTCTGAAAGCACCATTAGTCTTTCGTGGCTAAAAGTCTGCAGAGTGTATGGAATTCTCAACTCAACTGTGCTCTGATTTGTTCAACTTCAATTTCCCTGCATGTTTAATTGAAGGTTCAGAGGTCTTCCTGTCAGTTCAGTATTAATGAGGTGTGTTTTGTTTTTTTTGTTTTTTTTTTTGTTTTTTAAATGTCTTAATTTCCATGTCCCTTTTGTTTATTGGGTATATATCCAGGTCGGTTAGAAGAGAATGGGTTTGAAGTGGCTCCTGGAGAAAGAGGGGGAGACCGTGGACGCAGGGGGCGGGGCAGAGGTAACCGATACAGAAAATGACACCTCTTAAATACAGTGTTATTTTGTTGGAGTATACAAAGATGATGGGGGGAGTGGTATCTATAGCTACCATTTACTTAAAACTTCCAAAAGGCTAGCGTCCATGTAAAGAGATTTCAATTTGCAGGATAAAAACTGAAATGGACATTTTGAAAGTAAACATGAAGTTTGGTAAACCAAAACATTGTTGAGACCCATCAGATTGGATTGACGTATGATGGTGGTAGAAATAGAAAACATCTGCCCTATTGGTTTCTTGCATACTTAAATGTCTACTTTGGTCTACCCTACAGTCCACCGTTTGCACAAACATGTCATTGAATTGTAATATCATGTGTTTTTTGTTAACTACAAACTTTAGATAGGGAATTAGGTCTGATATTGTTGTGCATGTTTTGGTGATGTTGCTGGCAGCACATCTATTTATGTCTGCAGGCATTTAGAGTATTGCAGCACTCAACATATGTGGAATGTGCTCAGTCCCTACAGCTGCTTGTGTGGGGGTGTGTGTGGGCAGAAGGGGAGGGAGGTTGTCGTCAGTAGATAAAGAGATTAAAAAGTAGGGGAGTCTGACTTGATTTGCAACTTTCTTTGTAGCAGCAAGTGGTTTAAAAATGGTTAGGGGCAAAGTGGGGCATGAATCAGAACAAATTGTCACTGTTGTGCTAACAGCAGAGAAATGCATGTGTTCTCCTGGCTGGTTTCCTTTTATGAATAACTGGTTAATGTCTTAAGTTAATTCCTCTTTAACCAAATGTAAAACTTCACTATATAGAGATAGATAGAGAGGGAGATTCTTTGGACAATGCTAATCTTAGACATGTTGTCTTTGGTCTAAATTAAAGGGTTACCTTGCTGGCCTGTGTTTTTTTGTTTGTTTGTTTGTTTTGTTTTTTCCCCCTCTGCATTATGTGAATTTGCTTATGCAAAATCCCAAAGCAATGCTACCTTTTAGAAAAGGTATAAGAAGTGATAGAAGAAAGTTCGACTTAGAGATGTGTATGCTGGTATGGTTTTAAACAGATTATAATATTGTCTAATGCCTGACAAAGGCAATCACTATACTTATTGCTGACTTTGTGCAGATGTTTGATGCTGTCTTAATGAAGAGTTGAGCTTGAAAGGGACCAGTCAGCAGAGATCATCTGGTTGTTTTGTGTTTGTCCTCAGGGCCAGGGGGCCGCGGTAGAGGAAGAGCAGCAGCTGGCAACAGGTTCTCCTCCCAGGGAATGGGGTAAGAACAACACATGCTTAGTGTAAATCCACCTGAAGTGGGAGAAGGAGGTGGTGATGGTGATAACAAGCACATATCTTAAAAACAAATGTGTGGAAAAACTTAAGTTTCTGAATCTCCTCATTTAGTAGCAACAACAGTCCATATGGTGTTCTCTTCAGTTTCCTTTATGTTGGCTCATCTTTCCAACCTGTTGTCTTCTTCTTTCAGCACCTTCAATCCTGCTGACTACACGGCTAACTCTGGAGCACGCCAGGAGACATGGGAAGGGGATGGCAACGAACATTCGGAGGGAACTAGTAAGAAAAATAACATGTCACATTTTGATGCTGTAGAATGGCTTAATTGTGAGCTTAAAATCATCAGCTTCGTCTAGTGTTCACACAAAATTCCGATTACTAGGTGCCAAATAAAATCAGAATTCAAACAGAAATGGGCAAATGAATCTACACATTGGAATCAAGGGCGTATCATTTTAAAGCAGTCATGGTGCTACATTTTGTATCAATGCTTTTGGGCGACTGATGGTAGCTGAGAACATGAATGTGTGAACATGGCAACATTAACTTGGCTGCTCTTTATTTTTTTTTAGGAGCATGGGGAGGCAATATGGAAGACTGGGCTTCAGAAGACTGGACTGAGGATGTAAGGCCACACTTTTCAATGATCTGAAAGGGTTTTGCAATGCTTCCGTTTGAGGATTTACAGTTTGTTTACTTTGATTTAAATCTATACTTTCCTGCCTAGTGTTATTGGCCACTGATGCTAACTTACTAAATACTATTGGTAAAGAGTCAGTGATTTTATGTGGCCTAACTATATCAGCGTCACTCAGAATGATTTTATATACAGTACTGCACATATGCCTATATTAATCTGGTGGATGTACTTCCTGTCTTTTCTCACAGTTGTCTGAGACCAAAGTATTCACTGCCTCTTCTGCTCCAGCAAACCACATCACACCTGGACACAAGTAAGTGACCTGCCCAAAGTCCAGTCAACTTAAAGCCCTACAGAGAACAGGCTTTATTTTGGAGAACAATATTTGATTGCTGTTATCTTCTCCTAGTTGACCATCCTCCCCAAACCTTTTTTCTCCCACTTTTCCTGCTCTCTTGCTTCTCCTCAGTGTGGACCTGGCTAGCCTACTGCCTAAGGCTGGAGTGACTGTCGGAGGTTCTATGGACGCTGACTTGGGGGCGATAGTCGATGGTCCATCAGCCGAGGATTTAGGCCAAAGCCTGGTGTTTACCAATTCCCACCACAATGGACGCACTGCAACACACAGCTACGCACACGCCACAGCCAACAGCTACGCACACGCTGCCTCTGCTGGTACCACCTACGCACATGCTTCACTGGTACAGACAGCCACGCATACACACACCAGCAACCACATATATGCTTATTTATGTGCTTACACACTGATATATGGTGTCATTGTATTCAGGTCTTGCTTTGTTTCTCTCTTCCTCCCAGTCCTCAGTCTTGGGTTCTGGTTTTGGGTCCCTGAATGCACCTAAGCCAACACCTGCCTCTGACATCAGGACATCGGAGCAGCTCAATGGTCCTCGGCTTGGTCAGAGAGCCAGTCAGACGTTGGCCGCCACCAGCAACAGTAGTGTTTCCAAAGATGCAGGGCAACAGTCAATACAGAACCCTGCTCCTGCCTCCTCTTCCTCTGTAGAAGTCAAGGCTCACAGAGTTGAGAATGGCCCTGTTACTGCCCAACACTGTAAGTTTATCTGAAAGTATATAAGAAATCCGACACAAAAATTTATGACATGACTATTCAATCTTAACTAATTGACCCTTCCTAAGTCCCTCCCTCCCTTAGTTACTGTTGCTAGGTCGGAGAAGCTTTATACAAAGAAACATGGCCACGCCAGTTCTGTTTAGCCTGAAGCCACAGTGTGTATTTGATGTTGTCAGGAAATATAGCTTCAAGAAGCCAACGGCAAGAGTATGTGATGGAAGGAAATATTCACAATGTAATGTGTGTGAATAAGACAAAATGACACAAATCAAGACTCTTCCCGGTCTCCAGTCACACGTAGAGACTAGACTATCAGTCAAAGTTGCTGCTGCACTCCTGGGCATGTGTCCCGTCAGTAAAGTAATCGATGTACGTTGTGTATATCAAATAAATAACACCAAAGGTTACTTTGGATCGGGACGTAGCCTTACAGAGATATTATATATATATATATATTTTTTTTTTTTTTATTACACACACAAAACAACAATATACTTCTTCTTTTCTGGCTTATAATTTACATCTTAAATCTATCTAATCTATCTGTCCCTTTTCAAATCTCTTCAACATAACCACAGAAATAAGAAGGATCCTTGATGCAGTTAGCTAGCATTGGTCAGCGTTATGTGTGCATGAAGTCGCTTTTACAGGTCCCATCTAACTCAACTGGTTTTGGACTATAAAATGGGGATTGGTCAGTTGTTCTCAATAACAACAATGCAAGAGGTGCTGTGCACAACAGTACAATAGTTATTTGAATATATATTTATCCTTATTCTTTTCAGTGGAGATGAAGCTTCAGCCAGAGCCATCGGTGGTGCTCAGCCAGCTGGCTCAGAGGCATCAACAGTCCTCCATCCCTCACACCACAGAGCATGCTCCACAAGTCCCCACCCCGCCAGGTAGGACTGTAGAACAGGATCATACTATGCCACTAAACGTGTGAAAATCTGCACACGACATTTGAGCTTCAACTAATTATTTTTGTAATTGAATATTGGTAATTAGATGGGTATACCGGCAGCAGCAGGTCATGCTACATGATCTATTGAGCTGTTTAGTAACCACAATGTCGTTCTGCTTTCTTTGTGGATCTCTGCTATATGATCATGGCAGGATCGCCATCTAACAATGATTTTTATCCTAGTGCTGTGGTGGTGTTGTTTTTTTTAACAACATTGTGAAATGGACTGCTGCCTTCAATCTCCTTTAGGCCATGAGTCCTCTGTCCCTCTAGTAAGAGATGGAGCTTCTCCAGGAGTGAAGTTGCCAGGCATGGAGCCTCCCATCACAGAACCCCCTCAGCGGCAGCTAAAGACACAGAGGCGCAGAGTACCTCCTCCCTCAAAGGTAAGCTCTTCTGAAATCGGAACTTTTTTTTTTTTTTTAATCCATCTCATTTTTTTTCAACCCTCAAGCCATGATAGCAAAAGGACAGTATTACTTGAAAGCCCTCACCTGTTTAATGAGACAAGCCAGCTAAGTCTCTGGCTGTGTGGTAGGGACAGAGTTAATGTCACGGAAGTGGAATTAACAGCTTCAGGAAACTGCTTTATTCAGACATAACAGCAGATAAGTATGCAGTTCTTTTTAAGTATGTCCATCTCATACATGTTGGCCACCACAGCCTGCTTGTCTGCTGCGTGGCACTTTATACTGTAACATTCAAGTAGCATTTCATGGGGTTGTTTTGACGCAGCTGTAGCTAGTTATCCACATTCATTTTTCAAATAACTCCTCAAATAAAATCAACTTTTCTGCACATTTTTACACATAGTACAAAAACAAATTAAATTTGATTAAATATATTTGCCTAGTTCTATTAAATTCCCTCTTTGTCTACCTAGATCCCGTCGTCAGCAGTGGAAATGCCAGGCTCAGCAGATATAGCTGGTCTAAATGTTCAGTTTGGAGCTCTTGACTTTGGTTCTGAGGCTGGTAGTGGAACCGTAGACATGGCACAGACAGAATCGGCCCAGGCCCCTGCTCCAGCACCTGCAGCAATCATGCCTGGCCATACCACTGTTCCCACACAGCAGCCACAGAGCAGCCTGTTCTCCAAGCCAGGAGCTGTGAGGTGTGTGTGAATTGGTCTGAATTGCTTTTTTTTGTAGGCATTAGCTTATTTGTATTCAACAATATATAAATATGTCTGTGGAAAATATTCTTGCATATTTATTTAACTGTCGCGTCTTATGTGTGTGAAGCAGCAGTCTTCCTCTGCACAATTTGTGGCTCGGTGTATACACAAAAGAAAGGGGACTGGCACTTCCTGGCTACGTAGACACTCACTGGCTATTTTAGGCCGTGAAGAGGGCATGAAAGTTTCTATTAGGTCAATTAAGGTGTCATTCAAAAGGTTAATTTGTAGATGTTTTTTTGTTTACACGCTAACTGTAGTTAGGTTAATATAAACTGACGCAACAGCAGTCCGTGTGTGTGTCTAGTCCAAAATGCATTATATCAATAAATCTATTGCTGGATTGGGTCGTCTGGATCTTTGCCAACGTAACATTGCCATTTTTGTCAGAATGTAATCCACCGGCTTCACAGATAAATGGTGTCAATTTTGATTATAGGCAGTGCTTGAAGTGGGTCACCGATACCAGTAAAGCCCCTTTCCCACTGCATGGTACCAGCTCGACTCGACTACTCACCTTTTTTTCGATTTTCTATTGTGAAAGTTGTACCTGCTACCAGGTACTTTTTCGTATCGCCTCCGTCGAGGTTCAAAGCGAGCTGAGGCGATACTAAAATGTGACGTGAAAAAATAGCAGACAACTGATTAGTCAGAGAATCGTCTCTATTCACTGCATCATCATTGCGCGCCCCAGACACAGGCCAACAACAAAGTTTTTTTTATATTAAACAATTTTCAGATGTTATTTTATCACTAATTCCACTTCTGAGAAGTTTTGAGGAGAGAAATCAACTGTGTAGATCTCAAACATTGACAGTTTTATAAAAAGTGACGGCGAAACAAAAATGTGCTTGAAAGTTTTTGGAGTTGAGGAGCTCCGCAAGTGGCGGCGGGGGAAGCCTGTACCAACCCGCGGGAGGAGCTTGTGTACTGGTGGGCTCTGTGGTGCTCATCTGTTCCCATTCTCGCCTGTTTGCTAATCTCTGTTGGCGGAGACAGAGCAGGTAGAAGCTCGGGTGCCGTAGCTGTCGTAGTAATTTTTTGTGAACTGGCCAATCACAGCCTGGATGAGGCGGGACATTAAAAAAGTTTGATATGCTACAGCAAACTCTTAAAATGTTGAACTCGTTCTGCATGAATGATTATTGACGAGTTAGTACTTCTTTTTTTTTTTTTTCTTACACAACTTAACTTGAAAGAAGTAATGATTTGACATTTGTCATGAGAATAATCGATGAAATGTTTTATCGTGATAACATTTTCGGCCGTATTGCCCAGCACTAAGTACCAGCACCTATATTTTGATGATTATAGGTGGTGGCAGAAAATATTACTGGAGTGCAAGAAATGAAGTGTTTAATGCTCAAAATCCCCCTAAATGCCCACGTCGTAAACCATGAACACATTTCAGGCACAGAAAAATTTCATGCTTTAAGCCCTCTAAATAGAGCCATACAAAAATCAATCATTCATCTTACTCTTTCGTTCCTGTAAACAGTGAACACATGAGCAGCTTGACCTCAGCTGTATCGGATCCCAGCTTCCCATCACCATCGTTGGGCTTACCCAGTGCCACGCCCTCCCCCTCCCTGGGTCTTCCCAGTGCTGCCGCTCCACCTTCTTCTACAGCCCCTCCTGCAGCTAGCCGTGTGGAAAGCAGTGTCCCAAGGTCCCTGCCACCTCATCTGGGCTTTTCTCAGAGCAAAGATGTCCCCTCAGCTGCTGCTCTGACGGTGAGGATAAACCTTTTTCCTCTCTGTATGAATAAGGGACCCAAATCAGAAAAGGATGTACACCACTGCTGGTTTCACTGTTTCTCAAAAGCGGAGTGTCTGCTTAATCCCTGGCAAGAAGCCAAATGATGAAACTAAGACTTTGATCTCTACTTTATAGAATGGGTACAGTGGCATGAAGACACAGAGCACACAGGACGGTAAGTACTCTCAGCTGTAAGTTTTAGGGAACAGGAGTAGTCTATAAAATCTAATATGTTGAATATCACTAAATGCATCCGATGGTAACTAGAAAGCTGATAAACACGACATACTTGACGCATATTTCTCATTGAACTTTTTTTATTGTATTTCATTCTTCTATTCCTCCTGCCACAATCAGTTTGTAACATCAAAGTGCAAAAATCTACTCCAAATGAACATTTAAATTTTTTTTGTTTAAACCAGCACCAGCACCGTCATCATCTAGAACAGTGAAGACAGAATCTCCCGTTATGACAAGTGACAGTGGCCCTGGCCACCACATCCCCTCCCCTGCATCTTCCCACTCAACACCCATCCCCTCGCTCAGCAGGTAAAGGGTGATTCAGACACACTGACTTTATGTTGCAAATTGATTGATTTTTTTTTTTTTGTGTGTGTGTCCGTGTCCCCTTTTTTGTCTGGAGATAATGATGGTTACAAGCACATATCTTAATTCTTTATGTGGAATTATCTTTCACTGAATCTCCCATCATCCTGCTCATGCTTTGTGTGCAAAGTGTTTTTGTTGTTTCATCAGTTTTAAGGCTGACTGAATCACTTCACTCTCTTTCTAGCCACGTTACCAGTACTCACTCATCTGGATCGGCCCTCGCCACAAGCTCCTCCCTCACTGTAAGTGTGTGTACATGCTTGCACACAGACTTTAACTTTAACTTCACTCTGCAGTTTTGCTAATAAAAGGACACTGCTGAAAGTAGTTAGTTGTAGAAGTTAGTTGTTGTTCACTTGAGTCATTTGAGTGCTGGACTTTATTTTCTGCTAAGCTTTGAGGAAAACACCCATCCCTTGACCTACAAAACGGTTGGTGGTTCTCTTCTCTCAACCCCTCTCTGTTCTTGTCCTGTTCCATCAGATAAGTAATGAGGACAGCAGCAGTAGCGGCAACCTCCATGCCTTTTCATCGTCATCCAGCCAAGCTGTCAATCCCAGTCTCTCAGTTCCCATGGCTGTCAGCAGCTCAACCACCAATGGTCTGCACCAATCTGGAGCACCGGGGCTAACTCCTAATGGCACAAACGCCACACTCTCAGCTGCAGGCAGCCGAACGGCACCCCTGCTCACCACAACCTCCGGTAGGCTCATGGGCCCACACTGGAAACACATCACCATAACACAGGAGCTAATTTACAGAATATTTAAAAAAAACAGACATGTTCTCCAAAACTTTAATTCCCAGTAAATGTAATCGGACTGGTGTGACACTCAAGACTAAATAGATCTATACATATGTATCTAGATTATGTAAATATAAATCACAAGATAATGAAATACTTTATTTAAAATGAGTGATTCTCATCACCTTAAGTCAAGTAAAAAATAATCCAGTTTCTCTTCTTTGCCAGGTAAAGCTCCTCCCAACTTGGCCCAAGGAGTGCCGCCTCTCCTGGCCAACCAGTATATTATGGGCCCTGGTGGCTTGCTCCCTGCTTACCCGGTAACTATGCGCTTTCCTAATAATTTGTGTTGGTGTATTAATTAGACCCCTGGGTTTTTTTTCAAGGGAAAGAAGGATTGTATCACCATGAAACTAAACAGATAGGTGTTTCTCAGGAGTCTAACCTACACCGAACTGTTTTGCTTCTTCAATCTATTTGAGGTTTCATTTCTGTAAGCCTTAAATCAAAAAGCCCTGCATTTACCATGAGTGTGTACGCTGCACAATTTTGGCAGTGAGTTCATTCCTTATTCCAAACAGCTTTTCAGTGTTGATGATGACTATGTTTTAGTAGGTTCTGATCAAACATGACGTCTAAGGAACGCACTGAGACACTGACAAAGCTGAATAGGAGATAAAATATGTAGAAGTTAAAACTAAAGAGGGTTTGCAGGCAACAGATTTAGTAGAGACCCCAACATGGTACTAAATAATAACCACCACTACTTCTCTCTGTTGTGTATTTCAACAGCAGATCTATGGATACGAGGACTTGCAAATGTTGCAGTCTCGCCTTCCTATGGTGAGTCTGTTGTGCTTATTCTGTCATTTACCCACCTGCATATTTCTTTGGTTCTAGTATTTATTTATTTGGCCATTTTAATTTTCTCCCCTGTTTCTACCCAGGACTATTATGGTGTAACATTCCCTGGTACTACAGCTACAATGCCTGGAAGAGATGGCCTGGCCAACAATCCATATTCTGGTAAGTCAAAGTTGATCTTTAACTTGGGTCTAAGTTTGTCTACTGTCGCTGCATTATGTTGAAAATAGGCTGGAAACTCCCAATGACACGATTGCTCTCCATGTCCATACCACTATTAATTTCATTTATAGCAGTTATTTTTTGCACTTAAGCATGTTAAGTAGATTGATTACATAAACAGATTTTGACTTCCTAGTTTTTCTTAATTTGATGGCTTCTTTAACCAATTACAGTAGCTGTTCAACAGACTGGAAAAGGAATTTTGATTTGTTTGTTTTTTTGTTTGTTTTTTACCTTCAGTTTTGTATTTTCTACCTTTTTGTTTGCTGTCCAGGTGAGGCAACAAAGTTTGGCAGGAATGACTCTTCGTCTCCAGCTCCCCCAACCAGCCTGTCTACAGCTGGTGTGCAGTCGCAGCAGCAGCAGGCTCCCCAGGCAGGAACACAGGGGCAGGGCCAGGGACAGAGCCAGGGTCAGCAAACACAAAATCAGGCCTTCCTCAACCCTCCTCTGCCCCCTGGCTACGGATACACTGGTAAGGAAAAGCTATATTGTGTTTAATTGAGATTATGTTGGCCACATTTATTTCCCTCGAACTCATTCATGCATTTAGCGTTTACTCCTAATGCAAATTCCAGGTTTAGTTACCATCTGGTTATTTTTGGCTTTCATTTTTAAATGTTTATAAGACAGCTGTTGTAAAATGTCAGTATTTAAAGCTAAAATTTAACAGGTTTCTGCCGGAAAAGCACAATGCTTGTTCAGGAAATTTTCAATTTTAATGAGTGAAAAGGAATTTTCACACAACAATTAATGTAGACAAATTAAATCTGAGTTTGTGTAGACCTTTATTAATGTAATGCTGCCCATTAACAAGAGCCCTTCTCATCTTTGCTGTTTAAAGGTGAGTGATTCTGCAGAAATCCAATACCCCAACAAAATACTATGATAGAGCGAACAATGAGACGGCAAGTAATGTAACCGTTACCTGACACACAAACCATGGCAGGAATAGTGTTGTTTCCCATTTACAGAGCCAGAACAGACAGCTAGCAGACTGAGGAGAGATTCAGTGAATTTGACCAAAAAAATTGATTATACCCCACCTTTTAAGACCGTTGTATAGCAGACTGCTTTCATTGCCCGTATTTTTCTAACTCGCCATCTTACAGGTCTGCCGTACTATGCTGGCGTGCCGGGGGTTCCCTCAGCCTTCCAGTACGGCCCCACCGTCTTTGTGCCTCCTGCTTCTGCCAAGCAACCTACAATGGGCCTGGCAAACCCCTCCAATCAGTACCACCAACAGCATCAGCCCAGTTATGGACAGCATGCATATGGCACAGGTAAGACCTGGACAAAACAAGAAGGTTCAGTCTATCACTGCTCTGACTGATGTTTTCAGACAGTTAACGCAGCACATCTTTTCAAGTAAAACATTTTCGTGTGAAGATTATATTGAGCAGTTTTAATTCAGCTTTTTAATAGTTCTTATTGACTGTGAGACTGTGCATTTCTGAGTGATCAATGACAGAACAGGTTTTTCTTAAACTTACTGTAAAACTGTCAAAGCAACTTGCTGACTTCAACAGTTGGAATAGATGGTGACATTAATTCCATAATGAAAGCGCTTTTCATGTAGAGCAGGTTAGACCGTACTGATATTATTTACAGAAACCCAACAATTCCCACCAAGAGCCAAGCACTAGGACCACATTAGTGGGTTATCTGGCCCGTTAATTCTGTATTGTGTTTTTTGATGCTCAAAAGTATATAAGCTAGTCTTACAATGCTTTATTACTGAGACAATTTCTGGTGTCTCGTAAAATACAGCTGTACCAAACCAAATTGTTGCTATTCATGAGTACAGGTATTGTGAGAGAGACTTAATGTGAACAGAGACCTTGGAATAGATTAGGTGTGAAGGAGGCAAAGGAAATTCAACTTCCAACCCTATATTCATGTACACCAAATGCTGCATGTGCGTGTGGAATTGGGACTGTGAGTTTTTTGTGCTTGTGCTGCATGCATAGCTCAATCCCCCTGCTGAAGTTGGACACAGCTCAATATAGACACCACAGCCATTTTAGTCAGGTTACCTTACTGCCTCTCTCTCCCCTGCCCCACCTTCCCGTCCCCTTTCCTCTTCCTTTACTTCTCTTCACCTCATCTGTTCTCCGTCTCCCTTCTCTCCCTTCCCCATCCCTCTCCTCTGCTCGCTCTGCCTCCTCTTCTGTGCTCACCCTCCTTCAGCCTTTGATGACCTGTCTCAAGCCCACGCTGGGGAGTACAGTAAGGGAGGGTACGGAGGCTCTGCCCAATCACAGGCCAAGTCAGCGGGCAGCGGCCCAGGGAAAGGTACACACACAACACATGTGCGCACACTCTAACAACACGCGCACAATCATTTGGCAAAAACGGATGTACTCACAATTGTAGATGATTCTACAGCTGAGGGCTGTGGGCGAAAAAGGTGTGTATATGCACGTGTGACTGCATTTTGTTCACGTAAGTGGATACATGCAAAGGGGTAAAAAAGTGAGCATTCCTCTGTGCCTTCTCACTTAACATGCTTCTTCCTACTGGCTGCCCCCCCCTCCTACTAACAGTGGAAATGACCAGTCATTGCTTAATATTTGTCAGTGAAATGACAGTAGTTGTTCTGCCCTCCCTAACCCCTTTGCTTTACTCTCCTTCTGTTTTCTTCTTTCTTTTTTTGCTTTCCTCCCCTTCCTCTTAAATTCCAATCTTTTTCTTTATTTCTTTCCGGCTCCCTCTCTTTATTCTCCTCTCAGCACCAGGACTGTCAGGGTCAGGAACCAGTGGAGGAGTACCCGACATGGGAGGTTCAATCTACAGCAAATCTCAGGTGAGTGATTTGCTTGTTCTGTTGTATATCTGTTTAAGCTGAGACTTAAAATAATACTAGTCTTAAAATCACACTTCAGTGGTTTTTATGGAATGCTAATTGAAATGTTCCTGATTTGCATTTAATTCAATTTTGTATTTTAACCTCTTGTCTTCTCTGTTCTCCTCAGTCATTTGACAAGCAGGGCTTCCACACAGGCACACCTCCTCCCTTTAGCTTGCCTTCAGCACTGGGGGGAACGGGACCCCTGAACCCTGGGGGTGCTCCTGGCTATGCCCCTGCTCCCTTTCTGCACATCCTGCCACCACACCAACAGCCCCACTCCCAGCTGCTGCACCATCACCTCACACAGGACGGACAGGTGAAGCATTTAGGCATACATCATTCTCCCCACCCAGGGTTTCATGAAATAAGTTTGCATTATTAGAAGTGTTTTATAAATCTGGGTGTTTGTGATTTTGTCCGTTGTATTAGACACCCATGTTTTCTGAAGAGCTGTGACCTCAGCATCAAGTTGTAGTTAGCTGACATAGGTGAGCAACCAAACAAGACTGCTCCTGTGCATTAACCTGCATGCCTGCAGTATTTGGAACATAATAGGCCTTTTTGGTCAAATAGTCCCAGGAACATTTTGCCCCAAGAGCTAAAAAGTCAGGCACTAAAAAGCTTTTGTCTGTCAGTAGCAGTGATCACTGCAAACTTCACCCTGATGGTTCCTGGGCCCTCAGAAAGTACTACTGCAGGAACAGATACTTTCAGGGGGCAGGGACCAAAATGGGGTCTGTAGTTTCCTACGGTTAGTGCTAGTAAAGTTGAGTCCCTCAGAAGGTTCTTGGAAATGTTCCCGCAGCTGGATCAGGCTAATAAAGTAAATGGGAAATTTAAATAAACATGTTAGGTAGGTAGTTGGTCTTAAACAGGATTTCTTCTCTGCAGGGTGGTCCTGGTCAACGAAGTCAGTCTAGCAACATGCAGCAGAAAACCCAAGGCAGCAAGTCCAGCTACGGCAGCTCCCCCTACTGGGCCAACTGAGGAATGCTTCCCCCTCCCCCAAAAGGCTGTGTGTGTGTGCGTGTGCGCGTGTGGGTAAAGCTAAAACAAAATACAAACCGAAAGACACACTACCCTCACAATGAGCAACCTTGGGCCTCCTCGCCCCAATCCCCCCACCTCCCAAGTCCTCATAAGTCTTTTGGGTTCTCTCTCCCCCCCCTTTTCAAAATTGGTTGTACATGTAAGATATTTATGTATGTATTTATATATATACTGTATATGTAATAGTAGAACATGAAATGTGGTTGCTGCATTTTATTTTTGAAGGACTTTTTGTTTACTTTTTTCAAAACTGCAGGAAAAGATGTTACATTAAGACAGAATATGATGGTGAGAGAGCGAGAGAAGATAAATTATCTAAAACTTCCTGTAAGAAACCAGAAAAAGGAAAATGAGAGCGCTATAGCACTGATTGCATATGAGGACATTTCAGATGGGGGTGGGGTTTATTATATCTAACTGCCTGTCTCGTCTTTGTTCCCCTTTTTTTATTTTTTTTTTTGTTACCCATAACTTCCTGAATGACCAGGCTCATCCCCCAAACTTAATTTTGTAGCTTCATGTCTTTCCCCTCCTACCTCTCTCCCTTCCTTCTTCTGGAGGGATGCCTACTCCTTGTGTCAACACCCTTCTCTTTGAAGACGGACGTGCCCATCTAAATTTTATATTTTAATTTAATTTTAACCCTGATTTCCCTCAAAATAAAGTTCTGAGCAGTTGGAATTCTGATGTGAGTCTTTGTGTGCCAGTTCTTCACATGGGTTTTTCTAGACTGTTGGAAGTTCAGATGTAAGTTTTCTGATTTAATAATTCAGTGTCAGAGATGGCAAACAATCATTTAGATGAAAATCTATGGAAAACTAGTTTTATTTCAAACTGAACTTATCTGAGGTTCTGCAGTAAATTTGCAAAGTTGTGTGAAACAAAAACAACCTATTTTCCAAAAAAGAATAGTTCCCTGAAACTGAAATGAACATTTTCTCTAATATGGTTGCCATTATTGTGTTCTCTATCTTTTAAGCCAGTTGGCCATATGGTGGCCCAGCTTGAGTGCGACACAGGTGGCTCTCTGATTACAGCGACTACATCATTAAGACACCTCCTTTTCCCATGAAATGCATATTCTATGATATTAATAAAATATTGCAAAGTACTACTTCTTTTTTAAATAACTTAATATAATGAACTTATTTGTTTCCTGGCACAGCACAAACTTTGAGTTTATATTTATTCTTTTCATATTTAATGTGAATGTGCTGAATTAACATTATTTTTCAGCCCAGTCACATTCTTTAAGTATGCAGTCATGTAGAATGAGGGTGAATAGATGGTGAAAGACAATGGTATTTAAGGGAAACTCTGACTCTGTTGTGGATTGTCACAGCCCCATTTGTCATTTTAAAAGAAGCAGTAAAGCAGTAGGGAGGGGTTAATGTAGGGGGGGGGGGGTGGTGTTGTTTGTCTGCACTTCGGTCATCCAGACAGGCTCACTACTGGCAGTACCTTGTGGCAATATGATCATTCATTTTTAGAAGTGTACCATTATAAACAGACCCTGCTCATGTGAGGACTAATGTTCATCAGTTTACTAAGATCACTTCTATTTCTAATTGTTGGTTAAACTTGAGGCTGGGCAGCAACAGCTCTTGTAAATGTATCTTGGTTATAAATTTTTATTATTTAAAGGGCCATCACTAAAATACTATAAAATATATAGCACAGATAATATGTTTAGGAACAGATAGAGTAGTTCTCAACTTCTAACAATGTAAATTGATATCAACATTTTGAGATTTGGTCCTATGTGTAATCTTATCAATCACCACCAGATGGCAATATATAGCTATGTCAATTGAAGTCAATTACTGAGACTGTACTTACATACACATACAAGAGGACCAGGTGGTTCACAGCTCACCAGACCATATCAAACAAATCCTCTAAGATGTCCTTTTATAGTTATACTGCGAAATATTAATAGTAATATTGACCTGGGCACTGATGGAAAAGAAGTAATGCAGACCAGTCAAACAAGTATGTGTTGAATAGCCTATATAAACCTGGTATACACTACTACTGACAAAGGGGAAGGTGAAGGGAAGAGTGGTGATGAGAGGGTGGGATGCAGAGCAGAGAGGATGGAAAGTCGGTGAGTGGCAGGCATTATTGTGGCCTAAGTGCAGGAGCCTACAGCAACAAGGTCAAAGGTCAAAGTGAAGATGAAAGGTCAACTTTAGCTCCCAGGAAGCCCACCCAGTGAGATACACAGAGAAAGGGTGTCAGATAGATCGATGGGCCCTAGAAAACAACTGAAGGAACAGAAAGGTTCATGAAGGAAAGAAAGATGTAGCATAGTGCAAATGGATAAAAAGAACATTCAGATCAACCAGAGGGAAGCCTTAAATAAAAATAATGGACAGCAGACAAAGGATATGCTGAAAAAAAAAGAGAACATCTGGAAAGGAAAGGATGGGTAAACATGGAGACATGTGACAGGTCTGGGGAAGCAGTGGTAGATGGGTAATTGCAAGATGTATTTGAATGCAAGGGGGGCACACATGTTTGATAATGCCCCGGTCTTAATGGGACAGGAAAATGATGTGGGAGGTCCCCTCCTAGAAATGTTGGGCTTGATACTGAATGAACAAATTAGCTGTGTCCTCTGTGAATAAAGCTTGTTGGCTGCAGTTTCCTATTGGGGCCTACCATTGTGTTGTATCATGGGGGTTGTCTGAAGTTGTGTCTGGCTTTACACACACGATGCACCCTGATATTTCATTGAAGAGGCACAGGAATGCACACAGGAATGACCCTCAAAATGTTTGTTGACACTCTGAACCGCTCTGCTCTCAGATGTTGACAAAGACATTTTGTTGGGGTTCACTCGGTTCACTCCCAGGAGAAAATCAGGGAGCTTGTGAGGCTGTCACGCAGTATATCGCAACATTTTAGACCTGAAAGGAAATTGGGGGCCCTGGTGCTTAAGGTGGCCTCGTGACCTGGGTACTTGATTTGGATACTCAAATCAATTTCTGCTGTGTTCCGTCTCCACTCCTTTTTTCCCTTTAAATTACAAGCCCTTCCATCCGGCTGAATGAAGAATGATCACTGGGTATTTTTTTTTTTCTTTACTGCCTTTCATCTCCATCTGGGGGACCATGACATGTTCTTGTCCCCCTGCTTGTTGTGAGATGTGACAGCGGGGTCCATTCAGCGAGAAATTGGCTGCAATTAGTGCAATTATGCTGATTTTCACTTGTGTCCCATGCAGAACAGAGTTTTCGCTGTGCACAGAGACATCCCCGGGAAACTGCTGCAAAACAAAAACCCATCAATCAACAAAGGCCTTGAATGAAAGGCTCAACTGCAGATAATACCGGGCACATTCCATGATGACAGCGTTTAGTCAGCTGTGACCTGTGTTACGATGGGGGGCATGACATCTACAGCTTCACTGATTAAGTGAAAATATGCAGTAAAGCCAAGGCCTGCATGGCAGTGGTGGAATGCGTAATCCAGGCAAGATAACCTTACTGTATGCCTGTATGCTTACACACACACACATACACACACACACACACACACAACACACGCATATTTTAAGCAGTCTGACCTATGAACCATAAATAATGACAGTCACATCAACTAAAAGAATAATCAAACTGATAAATGTTGAAAGAGGTGTTTTGTGGGGAAAAAGAAAAATTTCATGTTTTGTTTTTTTTTGTCTGTCACCGTTAACCATTGGATGATGACTGAATTGGAGGTCATAGTTTACCCAACTTTACATTGGTATGTCTATGTCAATATTGCCCAGGAGACTGACAAGGCTTGCATTCAACAGCAGCTTACATGGTGTAGGAAGGGAGAGCAGTATCCAAAATGTAATGCATCCACTGCTGTAACTGTTTGAAGGAACATTTTAGAAGGGAAAACATCACTGACATTCCACACAGCAGTTTGCATCAGCTATTAAAACGTGACACACTAGCGAACACATTAAATATCTCAGTCACTCACTGAAAACTTGCTGGTTGATGGTTAGGAAACAGCTCTGCTGTCTCAAACACAAGTACTTCTGTAGGATACTAGCACAAAACAAGTCTAGAAAGCAATGCAATTTTCACTGGTATTGTTTTGTTGTCTAAAAACAAAGCCCAAAAGTGTCAAAGAATGTTACATTGGTCTAAAATTCTCCATATATTCAAGATGTTTTATTACAAAATACACACATCCTTAAAAGTGTAACGCACATGATGCCAAACAAAATATTTAATCATCAGTAACGTGTTTCATAAATAAAGTGTTTTTCAACATTATGATAAATATTTTACTTAAACAGATTGTCCCCTGCGATGGACTGGCGACCTTTCCAGGGTGTACCCCGCCTTTTGCCCGATGTAAACCGGGATTGCCCCCCCCCCCGTAACCCTGTATGCAGGATAAGCGGTTGACGATGGATGGATTTTACTGAAACAGATTTATTAATAGTGGGACCAAGAAAGAAATAACCTTGACACACACTGTTCTGGTCATTGAAGGGTCAGAGCAGGGTCAGGGTTAGGGTTTAACATGGGGTCATGGTTATGGTTACTTGGCAGAAATGCACAAATCTATAGATTCAACCATATTGTAACTTTTGAGGTCAGTTGTGTTTCAATGTCACCTTGCTATGGAAGTATAGTCATGAACATGTTAATTGCAGAATATATAAACTTTTTTAGAGCTGTGTCTCTTTTGTACGTTCCTCTGAGGGTTATGACAGCAAAAAATAAACTCGTTATTTAATATAGTCTAACTAGGATAACTTTCAGCCTGTTTGGTTTTAAGTAAATCATTATATCCTGGGTCTATCCTGGAGGAAGCCCTTGAAGTTGGCCCGCAAGTGGCTTCCTGGCACTCGGTTTGACCCCCCCCCACGCTGTGTCTGGTGGACGGGCGGTCAGCGGTGAATCCAAGTAGAGTGTCTTTAAGACCCAGCGGAGCTCGGCGGGGAAACCCCGCGGCTTTAGTTGTTTCTACTCTCCCGAGTGTCAGCTAGTTATTTGTGGGGAGGCGCTGTAGCCATTTCGCCACATGAAAGCCTGATGAGCTGAACGACCAACATCCGAGTTGTTCGTGGAGAAGAGAAATCAGCTTTGAGGAGCTCCGCGCGCACACAGACGTACACGAACTCGCGCGCAAAGACGCACAGACACGTACACTTCCCCCCCTCCTCCGCGGTGGAAAAAAGGGAGAGAGAGAGGAACAGAGAAAGGGCACACGAAACGCAAACTTCAAACTCCCATGTGAAAAGCAGAGGTTTGAGGATAGGGTATATTTTTTTCCTCTTCGGGGCTCCGTTCCTTCCCCCCTCTCTCTCCCCTAACCCCCCCCCCCCCCTCTCTCTCTCTTTCTCTCTTTCTCTCTCTGTTTTTGCCCGGATAGTTGTGTTTCTATGAGAGTCTTGCTCGGCGAGAAGAGAAGTTTGGTTGTTTGCCTGGTCGGCTGAGGAGGAGGAGGAGGAGGAGAAGAGTCGGGGTTAAAAGTGGAGGAAGATGGTCCGCAACGGCGCTTGGAGAAGAAGCTTGCTGTGCGTCCTGGCGCTCAGTCTCAGCTTTGCGTCCCTGCCGTGCAAAGCTCGGATTTACACCAACCACTGGGCAGTCCGGATAGCTGGTGGACCCGATGTGGCCGAACGGATAGCGGACAAATATGGCTATAGGAACATGGGACAGGTAGGTCGCACA